TTGTGGGTTCGATAAAATAATGTATGCGCTAACTGTAAGTGGCTCTGGATAAGAGCGTCTGCTAAATGACTAAAATGTAAATGTATGTTACTTTACAGTAAACAATATGCCTAGCTGCCCATTTCCAGGTTAACAAGTCTAATTGCCATTCGGACCTATGGTTTCTGTTTTATTTTTTATTTTTTTATTTTTTTATGTTGGCTGTGATATGCTGCGTTCACGTGCTATCAGAAACTCGGAACCTAACTTACAGTTTTTCTTAATGGTTTTGGTATTTTCACAAGTATGTGTTGTATTGATGTTGTCGCATGCCTCATCCATGGCCAGAAGGAGGGTGGCACGCTCATGGTGATGGCAATCGTACACCTTCCACCTTCCATGCTGAAAAATAATCCTCAATAGGGTTGAGGAAAGGAGAGTATGGGGCAGGTATAGGGTCACGAATCAGGGATGGGCCCAAAACCATGCCTGGACCACCTCTGCATGCTCAATTTTGTTGAGAATCACAATGAGGTGTGCAGCGTTGTAGGATCCAAGTAAAGGCCTACGTCCTACCTCACCATCTTCAGAGATAGCTGCGCACATGGAGATGTTTCCCCCACTTTGTCCAGGTACTTGGACGGTCGCCCGTTGGCCGAGTTTTGGCCAGGTTGAAGCCCGCTTCATCAAAAAATATATACTTGTGATGGTTCACAGCAGCATCAAGCACCATCACCCTCTAAAAATCTATTTTGGTTACTTATTTTTACAGTATAATTCCAATATGGTATTGTGAAGTAGCATGTGCATTAAATAGTAACTGTGCTGTACCTGAACATACTCGGCCCACAGTTGTTTCACCCGGTCAATGTTTCTCTCAAAAGGCACCAGGTAAATGTGTTTCATAGATACCTGGTGCCTCTTCAAAAGGCGGGCGATTGTTAGTAGGCTGATGGATGCCACATTGGCAAAGGTGTCATCGTTTTCCTCCATGGCCTGCTTTATTTCAGACAGCAGTATGTCATTCCTGGCCCACACCATTTCCACCACTGCCCACTCCTGCTGGTCGGTCAGCACACAGCCATGGCCACCACCATGGGGTCTTCTGTCAATTCTGAGGGTAGAACAGAGTATACTGTCAATAGATCATACTGTAAGACTACTAACATGTTTTGTGAATTTACATGCATTACTACATGTAATGTACTGTAAATGTAATGGTAAAGCATAGTGCATATCCTGCAGACTTACCAGTTTTCTTGGCAAAATGTTCTCTTGATCGAATTGACAGTTCCCTGCCGTCTGCCTCCCTCTCTCTGATGTCCACCTCTTTGACGGGGACCATGCCCACCCTCTTTGACGGGGTCCATGCCCACCTAGTTTACCTCTTTGACGGGGACCATGCCCACCTAGTTTGACCTCTCTGATGGGCCTCTTGTCCAAAAACTCTTTGATTTCTTCCTCTCTCTTGCTGTCTATCCTGCTCCATGTTCACACACCATTTTATATGGTGACCAATTGTGGTTACTACTATGGGAAATCAAATAGCAATAATGAGTAGTCATTATGTATGGTTAGCATGTATCATACATGTAATTTAGATGTTTATACTTTACAAACACACATATTATTTCTGTAGTTCTCAAATTCCATATATAGTAGACAAACCAGTTTAAAATCTATAGGTTTACCAAACGGTTAAATTATTAACCATTAAGCACAGTTGGATTAAGTGATGGTCAAATGTATTTAAATAAATGAGAAGAGAATCATATGAAAAGTATTGTAAGCATTGCATTGTGAACGGCAATTACTTTATATGAAAGGTATTTCTAGATGAAACACTGATTAGGTTTGGTGAAAAAGTTACTGTGTGATTTTGTGTGTTGTACATAGTCAATTGAAAATGTGCTTAAAGTTTTGAAAGAACTGCCTTTTTTGATTATCTGTTTTGAGTTTTGTACTAAGAGTTGTGTGAAATTTTACCACATACTTGTGAAAATAGTACAAAAGCGATAAAAAAAATAATAATGAATTTGCGTAGAGCTTCCGATTTGTGGATTCTGATACTTCCCAAGTGGGAAACTCGGGATCATATTTTTACGAGTTAGCAAGTCGGAAATGTCAGAGTTTCCTAGTTCAGACTAGCACTTGAACGCGGCATTAAACTGCACATTCTCATGCATGCATACCCTCACAAACATACCTGTGTAAATGTACTATATGGTTTGTGTCCCTCTGATGTTCTAATGCATCCATACTGTATCTTCCCCCTACAGGAGTGTACTGAGCCTTACTTCATCGGGATCTTCTGTTTTGAGTTTGGCATCAAGCTGGTGGCCCTGGGCTTTGTGTTCCATAAAGGCTCCTACCTGAGGAACGGATGGAATATCATGGACTTCATCGTGGTGGTCAGCGGGTGAGTTACAACTAGTGAAATATGGATTGCTATGCATTTGTGTGGGACATTTGGACTAGAAGCTCTGGCACACTTACGATGGACAAATATCACTTGTTTATTTTGTGCCAATGTTTTGGCTTCAAGGCCTTAGTCAGAACATTTTCTTGGAGCTCAGCTGGTGAGGGACAGCATGGGCCTCTTACGTCTCCTCTCCGTGACCTCCAAACCTGTGGCTATGTGTCCACAGTGGTTTTTCCTTGTGGACAATGCAAACAGATCCATATGGATCTTGTCTTCTGCAGTTAGGCAGTTACTATTAATGATTGGTTAGATAGCTGTTCATTATTACAAAATGAAAATGTGTGTTCACTCATGTGTGCTTATGCATAACAAGGTGAAGTGTGTGATTCCCCTGCACAGTGTGGCTATGCAGCCAGCAGATAGGTGGGTGGATAAGTGGATTGGCTGTCGTGTCGAAAACCTGTTTAGTTTTGCCCCCCAGGGCCTCTGTGAATTACATGTAAATGTAGTCAGAAAGAGAGCGAGAGAGAGAGAGAGATAGAGAGAGAGAGAGAGAGAGAGCGAGGGAGAGAGAGAGAGAGAGAGAGCATAGAGAGAGAGAGAGAGCATAGAGAGAGAGAGAGAGAGAGAGAGAGAGAGAGAGAGCATAGAGAGAGAGAGAGAGAGAGAGAGAGAGAGAGGAGAGAGAGAGAGACAGAGAGAGAGAGCGCTTGGGTTAATTTATGCTTTATGTTTATCTAACACTTTACTTATTCATAATGCTCTAAGTCAACATTATTGGCATCCATATTGGGTGTGTTCTGTTGTATGGAGGGAAGCAGCATACAGCATACAGTATTCAGGGAAGATAGCTGTCGGCATGTTGACATCACAGCTCACCCCAACGCCCACATCTCTCTCTCTCTCTCTCTCTTCACTTTCTCTCGCTGAATGCACTTACATAAAAGGACCTGCATCACGTTAACACACCGTTTAGAACAGAGCCAAACTCAACAGCTGTTCTATCACCATTTAGTAGATACTGTCTAAAAAATATGGAAGAATCTAAAACAGAGCCTCTAGGTGTAAAATATATATTATAAATGTTTTCTCTAGGACACAATACCCAAAAAGTGCAATCTGCAGAAAAGCTACAGAGACAAACATTTTGGTTACTCAACCATAATAATCAGTGGGGGGGTCACGGAAGGTCAGAGAGACCACTCCATGTCCGTACAGCCTCTGGATTCAAGTATTATGAGGACAGACAAACTGTCTGGCGCGGTCATATACTGTAGTTTATAGAGGCGTTTGTATAGTGTGTCCTTTTGTCTGAGCCAGTAATGAGTAAAAGAGAAAACATCCATGCTGTTCTCTTATTGTGTCATGAGCAGTCATCTAGTTAATGTTGAAAAGAGAGGTGGATAATGGCTCTCGACTACAGAGCCAGCACTCTATTATCAAGTAGAACAGTCTCCTGCTGGGTGGTCAAAAAGTGTACAGTATGTGTACTGTATGTGTAGTGTGTGTGTGTGAGAGAGAGAGAAAGAGAGAGAGAGAGAGAGAGAGAGAGAGAGAGAGAGAGAGAGAGAGAGAGAGGAGAGAGAGAGAGAGACAGAGAGAGAGAGAGAGAGAGAGAGAGAGAGAGAGAGTTGTTAATGCACTATGCCTGTGGAGGCCTCTAGGTCAGGTCAGGACCTGGGTGAATCAGAGCTGTTTCAGTTCGATGCTTCATCCCCTGACAAGTGTCACTATTTCAAATGAGAGATGTGTCATGTTTTTTCCTGCTACTCATTGCTACTCATGCTCAGTATATTGCATGCTGTGCACTGTATATTACTGTGAGCGATAACAGTGGTGGAAAAAATACTTAATTGTCATACTTGAGTAAAATTAAAGATACCTTAATAGAAAATGACTCAGGTACCCGAGCGGTTAAGAGTGTTGAGCCAGTAACCGAAAGGTTGGTGGTTCGAGCCCCTGAGCTGACTAAGTGAATAATCTGTCGATGTGCCCTTGAGCAAGGCACTTAACCCTAATTGCTCCTATAAATCGCTCTGGATTAGATCGTCTGCTAAATTACTAAAATGTGAAAGTTACCCAGTAAAATACTTCTTGAGTAAAAGTCTAAAAGTATCTTTGTTTTAAACATACTTAAGTACAGTGGTGGAAAAAGTACTCAATTGTCATACAAAATTAATACTATTCATAAAAATCTTCCCCAAAATCTTTCTCCAAAAGTTCCAAAAGACCTTACTGCACTTATCTGACATACTTTCTGGTGGAAGGCATGTTCCCCCCCCCTCCCCTCCCCTCTCCTCCCCCCCCCTCCTCTCCCGTCCCCTCCCTCTCCTCTCCTCTCCTCCTCTCCTCTCCTCTCCTCTCCTCTCCTCGTCCTCTCCTCCTCCTCTCCTCTCCTCTCCTCTCCTCTCCTCTCCTCTCCTCTCCTCTCCTCTCCTCTCCTCTCCTCTCCTCTCCTCTCCTCTCCTCTCCCCTCCCATCTAGGAAGTAAGTCAGACATAAAAGGAACGTGTCACGGCTGCGGCCGACTGGGAAATGAAACAAGGCCAGTGGGCCAGTAGCTGGCGGCTTTCATTCCGTCTGAAATTAATGAAATTGTTGGAACCTAATCTACAGGGACTCAGAGCTCAATTAAGAATTCTTAATTTTTTGATGGGGAGCGTGTGTAGAAAACCCCAGATTTGCAGCGATTCTGAACGTGGTCAATTACAGTAGCTCCCCCGGCAACAAGTTTGGTACAGGTGGATTAGATGTCATTGATTAGCGTAGACTTGTATGCCAGGTGAATTGTATTGCATATGTCGGTACCCCAATTATGCATTAGTAGAACTGGATAGCTACAGTATATTATGCACTTATACAGTACTATGTATGTTTAGGAGTTTCTTGTTGCTTGGATTTGAACATGCAACCCTTTAGTCTCTAGTCCATGTCTCTCCACGTCTCTACCCTCTTTGCCACACTGCATCCCATTGTACTACTCACCAATCAATGTACTACTCACCAATCAATCAATCAATCAATCAATCATGCGTCATTCAGTCACATGTCCCGCTGTGTCTCAACCCTCTATGCCACACTGCATCCCATTGTACTACTCATCCCTCTATCTACTGTATGTGACAGCCTGAAATGACAGACTACAGACCAATTCATCATCCCCGCTCCTCGCCCCTCTCTCTCTACTGTATGTGTCAGACCAACTCATCGTTCCTGCTCCCTGCTCCCCTCACCCGCCAGCCCGATCCTCCACCCTTCGCACCCCGCCCCTTGTGCCCCTCTCTGCTGTCCCTGTTGGAGAGTGTGTGTGACACTTAGCTGTAATGCATAATAGATTTGGGTGGGTGTTCTGAATGATTCAATAGCCATCTAGCACAGAGACAGCTACTCCATGCTGTGTGTGTGTGTGTGTGTGTGTGTGTGTGTGTGTGTGTGTGTGTGTGTGTGTGTGTGTGTGTGTGTGTGTGTGTGTGTGTGTGTGTGTGTGTGTGTGTGTGTGTGCGCGCGCGCGCGTGTGTGTGTGGTGTGTGTGTGTGTGTGTGTGTGTGTGCGTGCTTGCATGTGTGTGTGTGTGGGAGTGGATGACCTGTACTCAGTATTGCCTCACAACTCACACACAGCTATACTGTATACAGAACACAGACCCTGCTCCTCAGCATATATTCAGTCCACCTCTTTATTCCCCTTTGTTTTCCTTCTCAGTCTGTATACAGCAATGGCTCTTTTATACAGCAGTTATCCCCTAAACCAATCAATTAATCAATTAACAAATTAATCACTCAACAAATTAATCCATTAACCAAATAATCACTCAACCAATCAATCGTGCATCATTCAGTCACATAATCCCATTGTGCCCTTGATAGTGAACTCAAGAAATGAATTGATATGTTATATTGCATTAGAAGTACTTGTACTCACCATGGGTGGTAACCTTGAGTTTAAAAAGAGAGTGTGTGTAGGGGTCTCATTTCCAATCGTGTTTTGCTAATTGAACTGTATAAACAATTGTTTCTAGTCCCATGTGGGTAGTCGTTGTGAAAACACAGACCCAGCTATTTATTCTGTGACTAATAATGGATTAAGCCGCCTACTTTTCTAATCCCAATGGAAGCATGCGGAACGTTTTATAAAACATTATGTTTATGAAGTTAAATGGAAGATAATGCACTTAAGACTAGTACAGTCATCTATAGGCGTACACACAGGACTCCTCTGTTTGTCTTGTCATTCGCTGTAAGCAGTCTTCTTAAAATGGCAGCAACGTGATGTTCAAATAGAGTTTCTCTCTCCTTTTTTCTTATATTTCCCTCCCAGTGTTCAGTGGTTGTTCTCTGTGTAGGTGGAGGTGTGTGGGAGAGACCGGCAGGCCACATTCTGTTCATGTAATGAATTCAAGCACTTAAAAGTCAGTTTCAGTACAATACAGTGTTACACTATGAGGCGACTGGGAAGGCAGCGCAACCACTCAGTGTAACGTGAACGAACGACGACAAACCAACACGGAAACAGCATAAATCAATTCCAGAAATCTGGCTCAGCTATTCATATCTGTACATTACATTAACATCTACATTCTTAGAAAAAAAGGTGCTATCTAGAACCTTAAAGGGTTCTTTGGCTGTCCCCATAGGATAACCCTTTGAAGAACCCTTTTTGGTTCCAGGTAGAACCCTTTTGGGTTCCATGTAGAACACTAATGTAACCAAAAAGGGTTATCCTATGGGGACAGCCGAACAACCCTTTGGGAACCCTTTATTCTCAGATTGTACTGAACATTCACTCTAATAGCTAATGTATTTCTCCAGTTCAGGTCATGGTGGATTTAGACTGTGTAGATGTGACAGTTGGTCTGAGTAGCCTGAGTGCCAGTCTGTTTGTGCTATCATGTCAACTGGCACTCATTATCGTGTTTGGCTTAACAATGACAGCAATGTCATTGAGTTGGCAAGAGCACAAACAGATCTGGGACCAGGCTATTGGTCTTGTGGCTCTGAGAGCAAACCAAACCAGTCTCTCATTTGTGGTAAAAAGAAAACAACACTTGGAGAAAACATTTTTTAAAGGTTTTCCCTTGCATTGATTGTATTATTATTGTTGTTCTGGTGATTTGTTTGGACAGAAGGGATTCAGTAGCATGAAACTAGTGTTCTGTGGTCAGAAGAAATTATCTTCCAAAATCAGCCATGAAGGAGCAGCTTTTGTTCAATGTGTTTGATGGCTGTAGACTCCCACACCTCTCCACGCTCTCTCTCTGCTCTCTCTCTCTCTCTCTCTCTCTCTCTCTCTCTCTCTCTGCTCTCTCTCTCTCTCTCTCTCTCTCTCTCTCTCTCTCTCTCTCTCTCTCTCTCTCTCTCTCGCCTTCTCTCTCTCTCTCCTTCTCTCTCTCTCTCTCTCCATCCCTCTCTCTATTGTGTGGGCTCACACTTGAGTTTCTGCCATGTGCTTTCTGCCCACCCTCCTCAAACACACCCTCCCCCACAATCCGCAGCACTTACTATCAGAAGTGAATTGATTAATCTATACGTAGAATAGAATGAATGCCTGTTCAAAGTCATACATGTATGGCGTCAGCAATGCAGCGTTCAGCACAATGTACAGGAAGTACAGTTAATACAGAGACTGATTTGCCTTTCTTTACTTCCTGTTGGTTGCTGTAAATGTTTTCAATGTTTGTGTGCGTGGGTGGAGGGATGTCAATACGTGCGTGGGTTGTTGAGGGATGTGAATAGGGTCGTTCAATGTCATTTCAGCAAGCCATGACACCCACCATCTCAGATTGTTCTTAACTCATTTCTGTAGTTAGAAACAGATAAGATTAGTATTCCTAAAACATTATTTTGGTGAAATAGAATTTTATCTCTGAGAAATTAATCTAATTGACTGCACCCAAATTGGCTATTTTAATTTATAGGATTCATATAATCTTCAATAAATATAGTAGCTAACATCCGATTTGGACCATAATTCTTCTTAACAATGAGTAAGACATGAGGAATCCAATACAATTTCAAAAGCCACCCACGGCACCCCCCTACACAACCCACGCCAATCCCACCCCAACAACCAGTGTACAGTATCAGTTCCCTATGTTTGACAAGTAGTATAAAGATGTGGTTTGGAGTATGCTTTTTCATCCTTTGTAATGTATTTCCTGTGACTCTGGTGATGGTCTCTCCCCCCCCCCCCCCCCCACCCATTTAGAGAAATTAGTCGTGGTCAAAAGGGTGTGGTGGCAGTAGCAGGAACAGCGGCACCTAGTGGGCAAAACCTAGTACTTTCACACTAATTTATGGTAAATAATGTTTACCATAAATTCGTGTGAAAGTACCAGGTTTTGCCCACTAGGTGCCGCTGTTCCTGCTACTGCCACCACACCCTTTTTGTGTTTATTAAATGGATCACAATATTTTCTTTGCAACTTTGAGCAGAAAACCAATAGCTTTTGCTCATGACGAAAATACATTGTGTGGTCAATTGTGTGGTCAAGCCAGTCCTCTATGAAAGCAATTCAGATTGTCCTTCTCTTAGCAACCTAATGCTTCAACCCAACTATGGCAGCTCTCTGAGATTCTTATATGAAAACTTTTCCTACAAGCCCAAAACTTTGATGGACAAATGGGTGAGTGATTAAAATGTTGTGACGACCCTAATAAAATAATACAAATGTAAACCATTGCATGGCAGTCGTATGTTTTACAATACAATTATTAGAAAACATCTCTATATGTAGTGTGATTTACCATTAAACCCAACCCAGCCCAATACCGTTAGCCTTGCAAAACACTATACAGTGTGTGTTGGGGACTTGTACCATTGAAAACCACTAGAGAACATAACATTGAAACCATTAGAACTGCTGTAGCCTAAGGGTTTGCTTGTTCACCAGGAATGGTCTAACTAGTCTTTTTTTTTAAGGGAATAAACCACACACAGAGGGGCCGTTTCCTAGACACAAATTAAGCCTAAGAGAAGGACAAACTGAATTGCTTTCAGGACTGGCTTGAATTGTGAGGATGACCGCACAATTTATTTCCATCATGAACAAAAGCTATTGGTTTTCTACCCAAAGTTGCAAAGAAAATGTTGTAATCCATTTAATAAACACAAGAGACCAGCAAAATGGATATAAGTATCAGGAACAGTGGCATCTAGTGGGCAAAACGTGGTACTTCCACACTGATTTATGGTAAATAATGAAAATAAACATCACCAGATTCACAAGGAATACATTACATAGTATGGAGAAGCAATACTCCAAGCAGTAGCTCCATACTACTTGTCAAACTGATACTGTATACTGGTTGTTGGGGTGGAATTGGCTTGTGGGGTCCGTGGGTGGCTTTTGACCATTTTATTGGATTCCTCATGTCTAACTAATTTCAACAAAATATTGTTTCAGGAATGCTCATCTTATCTGTTTCGAACTACAGAAACGGTTTCAGAACAATCTAAAATGGTGGGTGGAGAAATCCTCTTTCTTATGCTTTTTGAGGTGGAATGACTCAGTAGCTATGTAGATGGATAGATGCCTGTAAGGTGTATTTGGTTCGTACACAAAACTATAGATCCATACTGAATGATGGCAATGTTCTGTCAAACTGATTGTATCGCTCTGAATGTGATAAGTTATCAGATGATAATTGTGGGTTAATTTGATTTCCTCAACGTAGAACGCTGCTGTCCCCCAAAGTCCCTTATTCATAAACCACACTGCTTATTAACCATTTATTCCATTGGAAAACATGTGTCGGCAGAATTCTGGCCACAGCAGGGGCCCACATGAACATCCCCGTGGACCTGCGGACCCTGAGGGCGGTGCGAGTCCTGAGGCCTCTCAAACTGGTCTCTGGGATCCCTAGTAAGTACACTGCATATCAATCACCAGCTGAAATATCAACCAGTTACATTATCATAATACCACAATCTGTACTTTACTACAATGTCTTATTCTCAGAGGCAATCAGGCATTAACTATTCATACACGTATGTGGTGTCACCAGGCTTGCAGATCGTGCTGAAGTCCATCATGAAGGCCATGGTGCCTCTGCTCCAGATCGGCCTGCTCTTGTTCTTCGCCATTCTGATGTTCGCCATCATTGGCCTGGAGTTCTACAGCGGGAAGCTACACCACACCTGTCTACCTACTGCTGACATCCTGGGTAGGAACATACTCCACTCTCGCTCACACTCCCTGTATTTCATACACTACCCCAGTGGTTCCCAACCTGGGGTGTTAGGACCCCTGGGGTTACTTGGCCTATCCACAGGGGGCACTTGAGAAGACTCATTAGACCATAGGCCTACTGGTAAAATGCACATGAGAGGGGTACTTCAGGGGTAATCTGAGCAGAGCAAAATTCAGTTGGCAGTATAGTAACCGGAAAAGGTGGGGAACCATTGCACTACCCCACACTCTCTGTATTTCACACACTACCCCAAACTCCCCCACACTGCCTGTATTTCACACACTACCTCACACTCCCTCACACTCTCTCTCTAGCAAAACCTCTTTGCCCACGTCTACCTCTATCCCTGGAGGAGGTCCCCTTACCCTATGTGCTCCATTTTCTCCCTATTATACTGTATTTAACTTTAACAAACTGTATTTAACTCTCTCTCTCTCGCTCTCACTCTCTCTCTCCCCCATGCACTGTTATTAAGAACATCTTTATATAATGCTACTCTTATACCTGTCAGCTTCATGAGGACCATTCGGTCCCATCTAACCCTACTCTATAAGAATAAGTACTCTTAGAAAAAAGGGTTCCAAACGGGTTTTTCAGGAGAACCCTTTTTGGTTCCAGGTAGAACCCTTTTTGGTTACAGGTATAACTATTTTGGGTTGCATGTAGAACCCTCTGTGGAAAGGGTTCTACATGGAACTGAAAATGGTTCTACCTGGAACCAAAAGGGCTCTACCTGGAACCAAAAAGAGTTATTCAAAGGGTTCTCATATGGGGACAGCCAAATAACAATTTTAGGTTCTAGATAGCACCTATTTTTCTAAGAGTGTATTGTTGTTTTGTTTTTATTTACACAGTCATGTTTCAAACGGCTTTGTCTGACTTGTTTACTGTACTTACAGGCTTCTAATTTGCACAAAGGGTGGACAATTCCTTTGTTAGATGATGACATGGGACAAACATATTATTAATGTTAGTACGCCCAACTGAGCTGCCAAGCTACATTTCAATTAGCCAACAATGATTACTCTGTAATCACACAAGCCAAAAATAGTATTTTATTTACTCTAACATGGAAAACAAATGGTTTGACCCAGTGATATACTGTATGATCAATCTCCAGCAATGTGTATTTCTCAACTGTCAATTAATGCAGCAGCACTGACCCCTGGGATGTTGGTGACTGGTCCCTGAGTTGGTTAGCTGACACAGATTCAGTCAGTTGTCAAGTGCCAGTTTTTAATCTAAGCGGTCCTCCAAGGACAAAGGATCATAGCTCTCCTGTTGTAATTAAGGTTGAGAGGAACACCGCTCTACAGTCGTGGTCAAAAGTTTTGAGAATGCCATAAGTATTGGTCTTCACAAAGTTTGCTGCTTCAGTGTTTTTAGATGTTACTATGGTATACTGAAGTATAATTACAAGCATTCCATAAGTGTCAAAGGCTTTTATTGACAATTACATTAAGTTTATGCAAAGAGTCAATATTTGCAGTGTTGACCCTTCTTTTTCAAGACCTCTGCAATCCGCCCTGGCATGCTGTCAATTAACTTCTGGGCCACATCCTGACTGATGGCAGCCCATTCTTGCATAATCAATGCTTGGAGTTTTTCAGAATTTGTGGGTATTTGTTTGTCCACCCGCCTCTAGAGGATTGCCCACAAGTTCTCAATGGGATTAAGGTTTGGGGAGTTTCCTGGCCATGGACCCAAAATTTCAATGTTTTGTTCTCCGAGCCACTTAGTTATCACTTTTGCCTTATGGCAAGGTGCTCCATCATGCTGGAAAAGGCATTGGTTGTCACCAAACTGTTCTTGGATGGTTGGGAGAAGTTGCTCTCGGAGGATGTGTTGGTACCATTCTTTATTCATGGCTGTGTTCTTAGGCAAAATTGTGAGTGAGCCCACTCCCTTGGCTGAGAAGCAACCCCACACATGAATGGTCTCAGGATGCTTTACTGTTGGCATGACACAGGACTGATGGTAGTGCTCACCTTGTCTTCTCCGTACAAGCTTTTTTCCGGATGCCCCAAACAATCAGAAAGGGGATTCATCAGAGAAAATGACTTTACCCCAGTCCTCAGCAGTCCAATCCCTGTACCTTTTGCAGAATATCAGTCTGTCCCTGATGTTTTTCCTGGAGAGAAGTGGCTTCCTCGCTGCCCTTCTTGACACCAGGCCATCCTGGTTTTCGTCTCACTGTGTGTGCAGATGCACTCACACCTGCCTGCTGCCATTCCTGAGCAAGCTCTGCACTGGTGGTGCCCCGATCCCGCAGCTGAATCAACTTTAGGAGACGGTCCTGGCGCTTGCTGGACTTTCTTGGGCACCCTGAAGCCTTCTTCACAACAATTGAACCTCTCTCCTTGAAGTTCTTGATGATCCGATAAATGGTTGATTTAGGTGCAATCTTACTAGCAATATCCTTACCTGTGAAGCCCTTTTTATGCAAATCAATGATGATGGCATGTGTTTCCTTGCAGGTAACTATGGTTAACAGAGGAAGAACAATGATTTCAAGCACCACCCTCCTTTAAAGCTTCCAGTCTTTTATTCTAACTCAATCAGCATGACAGAGTGATCTCCAGCCTTGTTCTCGTCAACACTCTCACCTGTGTTAACGAGAGAATCACTGACATGATGTCAGCTGGTCCTTTTGTGGCAGGGCTGAAATGCATTTTCATGGCAAAGAGGGACTTTGCAATTAATTGCAATTAATCTGGTCACTCTTCATAGCATTCTGGAGTATATGCAAATTGCCATCATAAAAACTGAGGCAGCAGACTTTGTGAAAATTAATATTTGTGTAATTCTCAAAACTTTTGACCACGACTGTAGACATCCGCTACTCCTAAATCCTATTTCAATCTATGGTGACTTTGGAAAAGGTTAGATGCAGTGCTAATGTAATCAGGCTGAAAAGATTTGCCATGGATCCTCAGATTCTCAAAACTCCCTGCCATCCAGGACCTCTATACCAGGCGGTGTTAGAGGAAGACCCTTAAAATTGTCAAAGACTTCAACCACCCAAGTCATTAAAAACTTGCTAGTAAGATTGCACCTAAATCAACAATTTTTCGGATCATCAAGAACTTCAAGGAGAGAGGTTCAATTGTTGTAAAGAAGGCGTCAGGGTGCCCAAGAAAGTCCAGCAAGCGCCAGGACCGTCTCCTAAAGTTGATTCAGCTGCGGGATTGGGGCACCACCAGTGCAGAGCTTGCTCAGGAATGGCAGCAGGCAGGTGTGAGTGCATCTGCACTCACAGTGAGGCGAAGACTTTTGGAGGATGGCCTGGTGTCAAGAAGGGCAGCAAAGAAGCCACTTCTCTCCAGGAAAAACATCAGGGACAGACTGATATTCTGCAAAAGGTACAGGGATTGGACTGCTGACTGGGGTAAAGTCATTTTCTCTGATGAATCCCCTTTCTGATTGTTTGGGACTTCCGGAAAGCACCTTGTCCGGAGAAGACAAGGTGAGCACTACCATCAGTCCTGTGTCATGCCAACAGTAAAGCATCCTGAGACCATTCATGTGTGGGGTTGCTTCTCAGCCAAGGGAGTGGGCTCACTCACAATTTTGCCTAAGAACACAGCCATGAATAAAGAATGGTATCAACACATCCTCCGAGAGCAACTTCTCCCAACCATCCAAGAACAGTTTGGTGACGACCAATGCCTTTTCCAGCATGATGGAGCACCTTGCCATAAGGCAAAAGTGATAACTAAGTGGCTCGGAGAACAAAACATCAAACTTTTAGGTCCATGGCCAGGAAACTCCCCAGACCTTAATCCCATTGATAACGTGGTCAATCCTCAAGAGGCGGGTGGACAAACAAATACCCACAAATTCTGAAAAACTCCAAGCATTGATTATGCAAGAATGGGCTGCCATCAGTCAGGATGTGGCCCAGAAGTTAATTGACAGCATGCCAGGGCGGATTGCAGAGGTCTTGAAAAAGAAGGGTCAACACTGCAAATATTGACTCTTTGCATAAACTTAATGTAATTGTCAATAAAAGCCTTTGACACTTATGGAATGCTTGTAATTATACTTCAGTATACTATAGTAACATCTGAAAAAAATATTTCATAACACTGAAGCAGCGAACTTTGTGAAGACCAATACTTGTGTCATTCTCAAAACTTTTGACCACAACTGTACATGATTCCATATGTGTTATTTCATAGTTTTGATGTCTTCACTATTATTCTACAATGTAGAAAATAGTAGAAAATAAAGAAAAACCCTTGAATGAGTAGGTGTGTCCAAACCTTTGACTGGTACTGTATATGTAGATACTATATTACCTCAATTACCTCAAGTACCTCGTACCCCTGCACATTGACTCAGTACCGGTACTTCTTGTATATAGCCTTGGTATTGTTATTTGATTGTGTTACTATTTCCTTGTATTTTTTGTGCAAATATTTTTCTTACTTTTTAACACTGCGTTGTTGGGAATGGGCTCGTAAGTAAGCATTTCACGGTAAAGTCTACACCTGTGTATTCGGCGCATGTGACCAATACAATTTGATTTGAAACAACGAAAAAGCTGTGATTGGAAATTCAGCGCCATGGACAGTGGTGGTCAGACTCCCTATTCTGTTAGGTGGAATACTGCGACACTGTGTTGTTAGTTTAGTGAAGAAAGGGGCGTGCTACTTACACTTTAACCACCTCTGCATTGTCCTGTGTTAGAAAATGAGACGATGGATATGACCGAGGTGGAGTTTGCGTGCGGAGTGAGGAAGTGTCCGGAGAAGTACGACTGTGTTGGGTCATGGATCGGCCCCAATGACGGCATCACCCAGTTTGACAACATCCTGTTCGCTGTGCTCACTGTCTTCCAGTGCATCACCATGGAGGGATGGACAGCTGTACTCTACAATGTGAGTGCCGTACACTCCAACTACTTTAAGGCTACTTTTTTCGTGCAGACACATTGAGGGCAGTGGCGATTTTAGCATGTAAATCTTGGTGGGGAAAAAACATATTAAAAAATGAAATGCATGCCAGCAAAGCCACTACACAACACAACACAACACAACACTAAACAATTCATTCATTGCACTATAACGGTGACATACGGTGCCCACAAACTGTTAGGGCCTACATAAAGCTGTCCCAACAGCGGTCCCAACACCTTACCACTGCTACACCTGGCTATCAGCGGAGCCTTGTCTGGCAGCGAAAAAATGTACTGCCTTTAAAAAAAAACATAGCTGATATGGCTGACTTGCTTAAACAAATGTGGTTTCTACTGGCAATTGAGATGTAAAGTACAAACTATGGCATAAGGGGACGACGAGCGGATAAGAGGCAATCTGTAATTTCGATTAAGACATTAATGAGCGAGCTAGGACGGACGTAGTCAATAACTATTTGTTCAGCACTTTTGAAATGTACAGCGACAGAATTCAGAACATGGGCCGTTCTTACAGTATTCTCCCTGTACACCAAGTCAGAACCATAGGATAAATAAAGGGGACATATAAACAGACAATGAAAGCTCTTACAATATTCGATGATTACATTTCTCTAAAACAGGCTATAGGCTACATGTGCACCACCAAGTCAGAACAGTAGGCTAAGTTATGAGGGTAAAAGGGACCAAATTATTAGGGTGAGGTATATGGGCTACTAACAGCTTACTACACAACATACACTTAGTATTACTTTCTTAGCTACAGTATACATATCTCCCTGGCATATTGCATAATTTATGCAGCAGCATACAATACATTTTTGGACTCACCTTGTTGTGCTGTGCTCACTTGAACAGGACGGTGGCACGGCGGTCCTTAGTGGGCAAATTATGTCATCAAACTTTGTCATCAAAGTCTGTCGTTCTCTGGATTTATGGTGCTTTCAAGACAACTGAGGACTCTGAAAAAAACAAGGTCGAATCATGAAGTCAGTGATCTTCAGGTCGGAGCTCTAGAAAGAGGCCAGAGTTCCCAACTTGCAATTCTGAGTTGGATGACCGTTCAAAACGTATTTTCCCTGTCAGAGCTCGTTCCCAGTTCCGAGTTTCCAGCTGTTTTAAGCACGGCAGAAGTCATGCTGGATTGCCAGCATGGCCAATGTTGAATGTTTATCCTTTTAAGCTTGGAAAAGAGACTAGTTGGACTATCAAATTATTATATATTTTTTTACATTGTTTGCTAACTGTGACAAATATTAATGCCAAAATAACACGCAAAACAGCCCCCCCCCCAAAAAAAAAAATGAAAACAACTGAATGACGAGTCGCCACTGATTGAGGGTCAAATCCTGTAATTCAACGTTTCACATACAGTGAATTATTTATCGATGTCAATGGGAGCTTTGCATGAATGTTGGGTATCTCTAAGGTTCGTGGATTCGTGGAGGATTCCTGAATGCATAGGCGGTTTGATAGGTGCCTCTCTATCTTGTATCTGTTCTTGTACTTGTATTTACATACACGTCTATGTGTGTTAGACCAACGATGCCTTGGGCTTTATGTGGAATTGGATCTACTTTATTCCTCTCATCATCATCGGCTCATTCTTCGTACTCAACCTGGTGTTGGGAGTCCTCTCTGGGTGAGTAAATAAAAGTGTGTGTGTGTGCGCGTGTGTGCGGATGTACAAGTTTGTGTGTGATTTTATGAGGGTTTTGGAAGGGGTATCAATGGATTGGCCCATGTCCTGCATGTATAGGGAGTTTGCCAAAGAGAGGGAGCGGGTGGAGAACAGGAGAGCCTTCATGAAGCTGAGACGCCAACAGCAGGTGGAGAGAGAACTCAACGGATACAGAGCCTGGATAGACCGAGCAGGTACTGTACTGTCACCTTAGAACCGCCACTAACCGAGAGATAACTAAGTAAGATGGAAACATTTATATATTATAAGATCCAAGTGGTGATTTGGATGCTATGGTTTGGTTGAAGTAGATAATGTTAATTTTGCCAGCTGCTGTGTTGCTTTTGAAATGGCTCTGCCCTGATGGAGATACCTGGTGAATATGTGGATGTAGGGTGACTTTGTGAAGCTGCAGTGCTATAATGGCAATCTACAGTATCTTTCTCCCACGCAAGTTGAGGTTGAGAGGAAGGTGAGACTGACTCACTGACTCAAGTGTGTATGTGTGAATGCGAGTCTGTGCGCATCCATGTGTGTGTGCGCGTCCGTGTTTGTGTGCATGTGCTCATCCATGTGTGTGTGCACATCTGTGTGTGTGTGTGTGTGTGTGTGTGTGTGTGTGTGTGTGCACATCTGTGTTTGTGTGTGCCCGTCCTTGTGTGTGTTTGAAATGTATGCGTTAGTCATAGAAATCAATAAGTGTTCCATCTCTGGAGGGGGTTATCAGGGCCCTGAAAGAGAAACGTTGGCTGCCATGCGAGCGCTAGATGAGCTCTTACCTGATGTTGAGTTTCTCCCCCTCTCTGAGCATCAACACTATGCAACACTATACATTCAGCCCCAATACTAACCTTGGTAATGCTAAAACAATCATTTCAATATTACATTTCAACAGGTTAGCCCTATGATTTGCTCACAATCTTCCGAGAGTGCTAAGAGAGAGAGAGACCTATTTCTGTTTCAGGAGCACTTTATGATTGACCTTGAATTCACTTAGTGTGGATGACCTTGAAATATGTTCATCCCAATGTTACAGAGGAGGTGATGCTGGCTGAGGAGAACAAGAAGTCAGGGAGATCTGCTTTAGATGGTAAGAACCAGAAGACATTGAGAGGAGTCACCACCGAAATGTCCTATCAATGTCCTTCCACATTCACTACCCTTACTACAGTAATCCTTACAGTCCATTACAATACAGTACAATGTTTTTGATGATACATTAACCACTTCACCTTTTCACGACCTGCCTCTCTCCATCCACTACACGACAACTCCAGGTGTAAACAAAGGCAACATTTTGTTTCTCTTTGACCTCCGTTAGCAGAGAGCTGCTGTAGACAATTGAAAATGGCAGTGAAAAGGTCAAACCTCTTTCAGAGGAAAATATACTGTAAAACCCCTCAAGAAGTTCATTTGCTTTGTTTACTGTGTGGACATTGTGATTGTCTTGGTAACAGCAAAGTGAAAAAGGCTTGGCGTGCGCCTGTAGTGATATACCATCTGTCAACAAGGTCTTGTTTTTAGCCTGTTTTTGTTTCTCACTCCTTTTCAGAAGACGAATATGATTCATATGACACTTTCATTTACACCTTATCTAATATCTACCTTTCAAAATATATTTGTCTCTGCCTCCTTCCTCTCATGTTCAGAGGATTTCAGTCAGTTTGCCCTGAAAGCTAGTATGTCAGCGTGAATATGTGCCATTTCCAACCATTTCCATATCATTATCTTTATTTATAACTAGTTTGTCATTGACCATCCACGAAAGGGCTGGCTAGTGAAATGTGTTGTGTCATAAAGCATCTGTTGTTTCATGACAGACTGTCTATGCTATTAGAGACATTCTCTGTTTGTTCTAATTTTCTGTTGTGTGTGTATTCAGTGCTGAAGCGTGCCACCAGTAAAAATGCAAAGCGTAGAGGAGGTCCTGGGGATGCAGAGATCTCCACTATAGGTGAGTGAGGAACACACAACCGAGACCCTCATATTAAGGCTTCTTGTTGTCTTTCTCTCCACTTCTGATCTCTTTCCCCATATCTGTTTGACCTCTATTTGACCTCTTTAATATTTTCTACACCTTTTCTCTCTCCTCTCCAACCCTGACCTTTTTCTCTCTCCATATCCTTTCTCTCCCTCCCTCTCTTTCTTTCTATTTTCTCAAACTATCCTCCTCTCCTCTCATTCCTCCTCCCACAGGAGCACCTCGTATGCGGATCCGTACAGTGCGGCGTGGCCCGGTGGCGTACATGCGTCGTAAGGAGCGTATGCTGCGGATCTCCCTGCGGCGCATGGTGAAGACAGACACCTTCTACTGGACTGTCCTCAGCCTGGTGTTTCTCAACACCATCTGTGTGGCCATCGTCCACCATAACCAGCCAGACTGGCTCTCCACCTTCCTGTGTACGGTTGATCGATCAATTTATTGAATCAATAACATTGTATTTATATAGCCAATTTTACAACAATAATTCACATTCAGAAAAAAACTCCTGGACCTAAGCATAGGCTATGAATTGTATTTACAGTAGAACTTACAGTAGAACATGTTTAATGCATTCTGAACAACTTTCAATATCTCTCCAGACTATTAAGATGTGGTTCTTCCATAGTACAGAGTTTATAACATAGCCTGAAAAAAAGCTTGGTTTGAACAGAGAAAAACTCTGAACATCTGCCCAGCCTTTAATTCATAATGATTTATTATTTCTTCAGACTATGCAGAATTTGTTTTCCTGGGGCTCTTCTTGGCAGAGATGTTCTTAAAGATGTACGGCCTGGGTTTCCGCCTCTATTTCCACTCCTCATTCAACTGCTTTGACTGCGGAGTGAGTTCATTCATCCTTTACATTTAATCCCTGATAGTTTATGGTGAACCTTGATTACCACAGCTAAGTGGAATCAAGACTTACAAGTGTGGCAACAAAATATTTGCTTATTGTTATACAGGTGGATCAAGAGGCATTACATTTCTAACAATATGGACAATTAAGTGCTATTGTTATTTTACATTTTAGTCATTTAGCAGACACTCTTATCCAGAGCGACTTACAGTTAGTGCATACATTTTCATACTGGCCCCCCGTGGGTAACGAACCCACAACCCTGGCGTTGTAAGCGCCATGCTCTACCAACTGAGCTACAGGGGACTATGTGATACTGTCCTATATTGCAGACTAATGTGTGTTCTTAGTGATAAAGGTTTGTCTAAACTTAACTTCTCTTACAGTTTTTGAATGTTGCTTGGTGTCTCTTGTGCAGGTGATAGTTGGCAGCATCTTTGAGGTGGTGTGGGGCTTCTTCCGGCCTGGCATGTCCTTTGGCATCAGCGTCCTGAGGGCACTGAGACTCCTGAGGATTTTTAAGATCACCAAGTGAGTGGGACATCAACCAGAATGAGGGTTAGGGTCAGCATTATTGTTACTGTTGTAAGTACAATGTATTACTATTACCACTCTAGGGTTAAGGTTAGGGTTAATGTTAGGGTTAGGGTCAGTATTGGTGTTACTGCTGTAAGTACAATGTATTACAACTCTAAAAGGCAGTCAAAATGGCAAAAGGAAGATATTGAGGTCTGTCTATTTTGTGTGCCAACCTACTCTCCTTTTTCTTGACCAGGTACTGGGCATCACTGAGGAACCTGGTGGTGTCTCTCATGAGTTCCATGAAGTCCATCATCAGTCTGCTCTTCCTCCTCTTCCTCTTCATCGTCGTCTTCGCCCTGCTGGGCATGCAGCTCTTTGGGGGCAGGTGAGCAGAACCATAGGGTTTGGGTTCAGTTATTAGATACAGTGTCACTGATCTCAGGATAGTTATTCAGTAGTTCTCCAAAATCAGGATATTAAGAATGTCTTGTATAGACAGGTCTCAGGTTCCATGAATGTATTTTCAGTTGATCTGTTCATTGACTATTGATGTGGATTGGCCATGATCATATCACCGGATATTATTCCAAATATAAATTCAGTAGCAGCCTGAAGCTGTTCCATGTTTTGTTGTGCTGCATCGGAAATGGGATGATAGTTCTGAAATGACACTTCTGGCTGAAAATAGCAACTTCCACCTCCTCCTCTTCTTACCTCTTCTTCCTCCTCTTCTTCCCCGGTCATATCTGCCTATCCATTCTTTCTCTCCCTCTAGGTTCATCTTTGAAGATTACACTCCTACCAACTTTGACACATTTCCAGCTGCCATCATGACAGTTTTCCAGGTTTGGCTCCTTCACTCTAGACCCTCCCTCTCACTCTGACTTCCCCATGATGACACAGAACCCAGGGATATCTCCCACATCCCCCCAGGGCCAAGATTAAACAACTCTGCTCACCGCCCCTTCCATTTACTAGCAACCCACACATACACACACATATACACATAAATGTCAGAGCAGTGAAATATGGAAGAATGTTTGATCAAAACCGTAAACTGGGTTTTTACGAGATAAATCAATTAATAGTAGGCCTGACATTTTTAACTCTGCAGGGAGAAAGAACACTGTTACCGATATGATTAAATTATGGCCCAAAAATAACCAAACTATACCGTTGGCTAACACTTCAGACAAGGTTCCTGCCATTTTGAGTCTTCTTATGTATTGGTGTGTGGTATTTGTGTGTCAGCATTCTGTATGATATACTTTGCGTTTTTGTATTATTTTCAATTGGGCTGCTCATTATTGATCTTGTAATTGTGACTCTAGATCCTGACCGGTGAGGACTGGAATGAGGTGATGTACAATGGGATACGCTCCCAAGGAGGAGTGCAGTACGGCATGTGGTCCTCCATATACTTCATAGTGCTCACCCTGTTTGGGAACTGTATCCTTCTTCAACTTCCTACTAACCACAATCTACTGATTATTCTCACATTGTAGATAGGTTTACATGTACAGTGGGGAAAAAAAGTATTTAGTCAGCCACCAATTGTGCAAGTTCTCCCACTTAAAAAGATGAGAGAGGCCTGTAATTTTCATCATAGGTACACGTCAACTATGACAGACAAAATGAGGAAAAAAAATCCAGAAAATCACATTGTAGGATTTTTAATGAATTTATTTGCAAATTATGGTGGAAAATAAGTATTTGGTCAATAACAAAAGTTTCTCAATACTTTGTTATATACCCTTTGTTGGCAATGACACAGGTCAAACGTTTTCTGTAAGTCTTCACAAGGTTTTCACACACTGTTGCTGGTATTTTGGCCCATTCCTCCATGCAGATCTCCTCTAGAGCAGTGATGTTTTGGGGCTGTCACTGGGCAACACGGACTTTCAACTCCCTCCAAAGATTTTCTATGGGGTTGAGATCTGGAGACTGGCTAGGCCACTCCAGGACTTTGAAATGCTTCTTACGAAGCCACTCCTTCGTTGCCCGGGCGGTGTGTTTGGGATCATTGTCATGCTGAAAGACCCAGCCACGTTTCATCTTCAATGCCCTTGCTGATGGAAGGAGATTTTCACTCAAAATCTCACGATACATGGCCCCATTCATTCTTTCCTTTACACGGATCAGTCGTCCTGGTCCCTTTGCAGAAAAACAGCCCCAAAGCATGATGTTTCCACCCCCATGCTTCACAGTAGGTATGGTGTTCTTTGGATGCAACTCAGCATTCTTTGTCCTCCAAACACGACGAGTTGAGTTTTTACCAAAAAGTTATATTTTGGTTTCATCTGACCATATGACATTCTCCCAATCCTCTTCTGGATCATCCAAATGCACTCTAGCAAACTTCAGACGGGCCTGGACATGTACTGGCTTAAGCAGGGGGACACGTCTGGCACTGCAGGATTTGAGTCCCTGGCGGCGTAGTGTGTTACTGATGGTAGGCTTTGTTACTTTGGTCCCAGCTCTCTGCAGGTCATTCACTAGGTCCACCCGTGTGGTTCTGGGATTTTTGCTCACCGTTCTTGTGATCATTTTGACCCCACGGGGTGAGATCTTGCGTGGAGCCCCAGATCGAGGGAGATTATCAGTTGTCTTGTATGTCTTCCATTTCCTAATAATTGCTCCCACAGTTGATTTCTTCAAACCAAGCTGCTTACCTATTGCAGATTCAGTCTTCCCAGCCTGGTGCAGGTCTACAATTTTGTTTCTGGCGTCCTTTGACAGCTCTTTGGTCTTGGCCATAGTGGAGTTTGGAGTGTGACTGTTTGAGGTTGTGGACAGGTGTCTTTTATACTGATAACAAGTTCAAACAGGTGCCATTAATACAGGTAACGAGTGGAGGACAGAGGAGCCTCTTAAAGAAGAAGTTACAGGTCTGTGAGAGCCAGAAATCTTGCTTGTTTGTAGTTGACCAAATACTTATTTTCCACCATAATTTGCAAATAAATTCATTAAAAATCCTACAATGTGATTTTCTGGGAAAAAAAATCTCAATTTGTCTGTCATAGTTGACGTGTACATATGATGAAAATTACAGGCCTCTCTCATCTTTTTAAGTGGGAGAACTTGCACAATTGGTGGCTGACTAAATACTTTTTTTCCCCACTGTATATCTTTCTCCTTCTGTGAAAGTTGTAGCATAGTCCTAAAGTAGGGGTCATGGGTTCTGATGTTGTGTGGAACTGTTCGAAAGAAGTTCATGTATTTCAGTTTCATCCACCCCTGTAAGCATTCTTGACCATACTGTGATCAGATACACTGCTCAACGTCTTCTTGGCCATCGCAGTGGATAACCTTGCCAACGCACAGGAACTCACCAAGGTGTGTAGTACTATTTTAAGAGTTTCTACGGAATGGGTTATCTTGAAATTTAAATAAGGATTTTCAAAGAAATGTGTAAGGGTCTTGACCTATGGGCATAGCCAATGTTCCCTCTAATATGCGTATGTGCTCAGGCCGCACTGCAGAGCAGAAGAAATATCAGCCCGTGCAGAGAAGTACAAGATTTTCTAGAGTTTTCCCCGTTAGTTAATTAACACTATCAACATTTACCTTTACTGTGGGAATTGTGATCGAATCAACGCAATATTAGCCACTTTCAATGCAACCTACCGAAACAAAACAAACTATGCAAGACTTAGTATGCAAAACTAACTATGCAAGAGATTTTGTTGTAGGCAGAACGCATCAGAGTAGGATTCTGTTGCATTGACACGCATGACTCAGTCCATACTCTACACAGACCAGTGCTCCATAACCAATCAGAGCTGCAGTAGGCCTATATGCAAATTGACCATTGCCATATATGGATCTGTGGCATTCACTTTGAACTGGACTGTGTTTACAGCATGAGCGGTCGTGAGTAGATGCGCTCAGTGGTGTAAAGTACTTAAGTAAAAATACTTGAAAGTACTACTTAAGTCGTTTTTTTTTGGGTATCTGTACTTTACTTTACTATTTATATTTTGGACAACTTTTACTTCACTACATTCCTGAAGAAAATTATGTACTTTTTACTCCGTACATTTTCCCTGACACCCAAAAGTACTTGTTACATTTTGAATGCTTAGTAGGACAGGAAAATGGTCCAATTCACACACTCAAGAGAACATCCTTGGTCATCCCTACTGCCTCTAATCTGGCGGACTCACTAAACAAAAATGCTTCATTTGTAAATGATGTCTGAGTGTTGGAGTGTGCCCCTAGCTATCCGTAAAAAACAACAACATTGTGCTGTCTGGTTTACTAAATATAAGAAATGTTAAATGATTTATACTTTTACTTTTGATACTAAGTATATTTTAGCAGTTATATTTACTTTTGATATTTAAGTATATTTAAAACCAAATACTTTTAGACTTTTACTCAAGACTTTTACTTGAGTGATTTTCTATTAAGGTATCTTTACTTTTACTCAAGTATGACAGTTGGGTACTTTTTCGACCACTGGATGCGCTTGTTTTGAGATCAAAGCGAGAGCTGCATGTAGCCACATGTGCACATTTGTTCATATCCTTTGCTAGTTAGTGAGTTATTAGCCCAGTTATAGATCATTTGTAGTCAGCAATGGGTGAGTGATTGCTTCCTACAAGAGCACAAAACGTTTACATTTCTAGACATCTTTGAAAAGTGAGTAAGGTAAAGAGCTTTTTTTGTCTTAAAGGGGCAGTGTTGTATTTTGAGACAGGCTTGAATAAGCTAAGTAGCCAATACGCAGAGGGTAGCATAATTTGTCTGATTCTCTGTAATAATGGTATGGGAATAATAATGCATTTTATTTTGTAAAGTGTTTTTTTGCATCAAATGACACAACAACATTTTCAGTCACCTCCTTGTCTTAAGGACAAGTGGAAAAAAACAGGTTAATGTTAAGCCCTGCATGGTTTTTTTCAAAAGTCTCATGGAATTTAGGCCTACATTGAACACCACGCATTGGCTGCTACTGTAGGCTGAATGATAGAACAGCCATTTCCATGGTAAAATGTTATGGGATCCATTTTTTCCATTGTTTTTGATGGTAGGCCACTCCGGTAGGCCTACATTATGATCAAATAGCCACAGCAGCCTACTTGACCACTGTCTGAAACTAACTTAAAGCGGGTACAGCCTCAGTGTTGACAGTAAACGCTCGCTGGAAGTTGCACAGAATTTACATAACGTTCAAGTTTGCGCTCAGCAGACCTGAAATTTGCTCAGTGTCCCAAAAATTGTTAGCTGCCCTATATCCAAAACTATTTGTGGGACTTACATTACTTTTTGTGTTTATTTTACCTTTGTTAGGACGAAGAAGAGGAAGAGGAGTTTTTCAATGCAAGATACGCCAGAGGCACAGATGGTCCGATGTCTGAGTAAGTGTTCTGTTTATACTTTTATTACAATGGTAGTTGGTCAGGCACATACTTTGGCCTAGTCTTGGTGAAGATTAGGAGGAGATTAGAAACTGAGAGGTGATCATGATGCGGTCTCAATATCTATCGATTACACAGCCATAACACCCACAGGAAAATACTGATCTACTATTCTCTTTGAAAATCTGGTGTAGGCGTAGGCAGAATGTTTATTTTCTTTGCATACAGCTGCATGATGAATCTTTAGGGTTAGTGAGGCATGTTCTGTGGGCTGTGTGTGGAAAATGAATGTGTACCTGCCTGTTACATAGCATGTGTAATGGAAAATGCATTAGGGAAATTAGGGATGAGGCATACGTCCTAGTTAAGACAAGCATCTTCGCTTTGAGTCGGATGTTGTTCTTGGGACTTGCTAATGAAAATGCTAAAATGCTAATGTAGGATAATGCATGATTTTAGTTAGAATATACGTTTTTTGTTTATTTGAGCATGTCAGTCAACTGGTAAATTAAGAAAGATCAGGCCAGTCAGACAAGCATGTTTTTATTTATTTAGGATTTGTTTATTTGTGCATATCAGTTAACAGATAAATTAAACCAAATGACAGGGCAATTATAGAGTATAAGCATAGTATAATGCTTAGTGTATAAGTACCACCAACCATTCTGCTCCCTCTGTAACAGGTACAGGTAGGGGGGAAAAGGATGCATGGATTGTACTGTCCTCTGATCTTCTCCAGGCACGTTACACTGACTGTGTCATTTGTCTGTTACAACATATTTGAGTGTCAGTCCTATGTGTTTCAGAGCTATCAAGATGCCGCTGCTTTTGATACGTATACTGTACTATGGTGTAATGCTATGTTATGCTGCTTCCATCATGTTGTCTTGTTACTCTATGCCTGTAATGTGGCACTAACCAAAATAAATACTACAAAATATAAGTAAAGATTACTGTGCTGCCCCTGTAGGATCAAGTTGAAACAATTTGTAATAACACTTGGATATCCACTGTTATTTGATAGGATTTATAAACATCCACTTTCACTACTTAGAAATAATACTTTTTCCATTTATGGATCCATTTATCAAGCTGTCAAAGCCAAATCCCCATGCCAAATATACTAAATATAATAATAATAATAATAAAAAGAAAATAAGATATAACCAAATATACTAGACTGGCATTACTGGCATGACCCTTGACCTGGTTTTGGACTGTGTCACAAGGATTGTTCTATTCTGTCTGTTCCAAAAACACTAATGTCTTGTTTTCAACCAATCACTCATTGAATACATGGATTACAAAAGAGTCTGAATACCGTAAGTAAAGTTGTCTGTCTGTCTGTACCCCTGTCACACCTAATTCAGTTTCCTTTATCTTAGTAGAAGAAGTTGATTTCTATATATCTATATATATTTCCCTATTTTAATCCTGCACTTTTCCTTTTTGTTTTTGTGGCTTTTTGATTTTCTGTGCTTTCTTCCCAGGTATTTTCATCATTTGAATTTCAATCGAATTTCTGGATGTTTGTTTTATTTAGATGATAATTCAAAAATTGAATTGAATTCATCTTAAGCCATAAAACATACAATATCTCTGATTAAAAATGTTAATGGCAAATTGCTCTGTCATGCAATTTTCCTACATCATTATTGACATATTTACATACATAGATACTATGTTATATAATATGTTATATGTCTAGACTCTATTTAGTGTGAGGTGTAACCTATCATTAGGAAGTGTACATGTGACATGTGCGTGACGCTGCCCTCTAGTGATAGGCTTTGTGTTGTGCTCTGTAGGAGGAGGAGGCGGCCCTACCTCCGCAGGAAGCAGGCCATCCACAGGGGCCGTATGGCCTTACCCGAGGAGGAGGAGGAGAGCGCTGCTGGGGGCGGAGCCGACCAACCCCCCAACGGCACCAACGCCTTCTCCAACCGCCGTGATCGACGGAGGAGGGGGGGGGGGGGGGAGGAAGAGGAGGAAGGTCTGTGTGGGAGCAGAGGGCCAACCAGCTACGCAAGCGGCGCCAGATGGAGAGCCAGGAGGTCCTGTTCGGAGGCAGCCCCACCGAGGACACCACTGACACCCCTACAACCGCCTACCGCGCCCCCACCCTCTCCCCAGACGCCAGCCCCGGTCACCTGCCCGAGTCGCCCATGTCCGGGATCATGCCCATGCCTGAACCCCCGATGTCCATCGCCATCCCGCTACCGGAACCCCCAGACTCGGAGCCTATGCCTCTGTTTACATTAGCTGAGGAGAGAGCGGTGAACCATCGCTCCGGTGGGGAAAGGAGGCACAGGGTGGCCCGGAAATCCAGGCCTGGCCCTGGGGGGGCGGAGGAGGGAGGGGCGGCACGGCATAGGAGGCACCGTCACCGTGAGGCCCGGGCTGAGACCAAGAGCAGAGAGTCCCCACATGAGGAGGTCAGCGAATCAGGCAGCCGCGAGAGGAAGATACTGGAAGAGAGGGAGGAGAAGGAGAAAGAGGAGAAGGAGGACAAAGGAGAGTTTGCTGAGGTGGAGGGAGGAATGTCAGGCAAGAATGAAGGAGGAGCCATTATTATCAACTTAGAGAGTGAAGAAGAGCATCTGAGGTAAGACGGTGGTGCTAGGTTCCATTATTTTATTATAAGGGTTAAGGCATTGTGATTTGTGAGATTAGACTTCAGGCCCAAATTGGGAGTGTCTAAACACATGTACACATTCTCTTCCATACACCTCCTCTGCAGGGTGTGTATTGCAGACATCCCTGAGCCTCCCCTATGTGATAACTTCCCTGAGTACCTACCCCCACCCCTGCTGGACACTCCACCCCAGATGGAGGAGGGCGAGGGGGGGGAGACTGGGCAGTGTGAGCCCTTGTCTCAGGACCCTCCAGTGGAGCCAGCCCCAGAGCAGTTCGCAGACCCCTCAGAGCTCCAGGCAGCAGCAGGAGTCAGTGACTCTGAGAACATCCAAGCCTCCCTGAACCTTGAGGAGGGTAAGGAGACAGAACAAGGCCCAGACAGCCAGACCAGCGTGATCATAGAGATGTCTGGAGCGCAGCCACTGCTGGAGGTCACCCCCATGACAGGTATGGTCCTCAACATTTTACAGTAGTTCATTGAAAGCAATGTAAGGGCCATTGACTATTCTGTTCTGTTTCCTGCTGGAACAAGGAGGGTAACGATAACGATGGACTTGTTTTGTCATGCTCGGGAGGAGCCAGGTCAAATAACAGGTTTTATCTTCAATTTACTTTTAGCTTTACACAGCAACAAGGAGGTGGAGGTGTACCAGCCTGAGAGGAAGGAGAAGAAGGAGGAGGAGTCGCAGTTGGAGAAGGAGGAGGAGGAGGAGGCTAGCCCGCCCAAACCTGAACCTCCTGGCAGCATGTTCCTCTTCAAGGCCTCCAACCCGTAAGACTCTCCTTCCTGCCCATATCTTGGCATGTATTCTAGTGCAGTACTAGTCTATTCAGTTCAGTTCTATGAAAGGACTGAAGTTCAAAATCTGAACCCTGTTAGAACAGGCTACTGCGTTTATGCATCAGTCAGTGTATTCTTACTGCACAAATACACATTCACATACTCTCTCATACATTGTAGCTTTACAGCTCTCTATCAGTAATCTTTTTTGTGACCATGTTTGTGGATACAATATAGTAGTCATTATATTTATCATCATTGTCGTCATGACCGAGCACGTGTGTATCTGATACTGTTGACCCTCTCTCCACTTTATTGATCTGTAGGATCAGGAGGATCTGTCACTATGTGGTGACCATGCGCTACTTTGAGATGACCATCTTGCTGGTGATTGTGGCTAGCAGCATTGCTCTGGCTGCTGAAGACCCTGTGTGCACCAACTCTGACAGAAACAGGGTGAGTTCAATTTGAATCTGGAATGTTGGTATCAGTCATATGAATATGTGAATGTCCTTTCACATAATTATTGGACGTTTTTTTGCTTTTCTAGGTTCTCCGTTACTTTGATTACGTCTTTACTGGAGTCTTCACATTTGAAATGATCATAAAGGTGATATACTCAAAGAGAAATGATCAATTATGAGCCTCCTAAAACTATGCAGAAAAATACACATGTAACAATGTTTTCAGTGTAGTAACTTATGTTGTCATATGTATGTGTGTGTGTGTATCTATGTTGTCGTGTGTGTGGGCGCTTGTGTGTGTGTATCTATGTTGTATTGTGTGTGTGTGTGTGTGTGTGTGTGTGTGTGTGTGTGTGTGTGTGTGTGTGTGTTTGTGTGTGTGTGTGTGTGTGTGTGTGTGTGTGGGCGGTTCTGTGTGTGTGTCTATGTTGTTGTGTGTGTGGGTGTGGGTGTGTGTGTGTGGGGTGTCCTCCAGATGACTGACCTGGGACTGCTTCTTCATGACGGCTCCTATTTCCGTGACCTGTGGAACATTCTGGACTTCATCGTGGTGGTGGGAGCTCTGATCGCCTTCGCTCTGACGTGAGTAGGGTTACAAAGTTACCGGTAATTTACCAAAGTTACCGGAGTCTTCTGTAATTTTGGTCATTAACAGGTAATCAATGGCAATCTATGGTAACTTTGGTCTTTTATAGTTGAATAACTTTAGAACACTTTTTTTTAAATGATATCTGCGTCCATATTGTCGTTGAGTTTCTAGTGGATAGACCATACGGTTCAAGATAGCCTAAATAATGAAAAAAGTATCTTATCAACAATGGCGTTATTTTCAATTGACACTGCAACTCTTCCGACTATTTACTTTTTTTACAACTGCCACCAGTTTTCCGCCAAAACATTTACAACAAATACATATTGACATAGTAAAATAAATAATGCAAGTGTGTAATATGTAAAGTATATTTAATTCTGAAACCCTCATATTAAACACCAATGGTATTCACTAAGTTTATGGTTTATATTTAGGATAATGTTTTACAGTTTTGTCATTCTATAAAAAAAAAAAATTCTTAACAGTATTTAATTATTTTATGTATGTTACAGTACATGTGATAAGGCCACAGAGAGGGACAGAGATAATTACAGATACCTGTGATAATCTGAAGTACCCAAAAAGGCCACTGGATGTAATCTGATAAAATTCCCCCCAAAATGAAAGTTAGCAAAATTCTGGTAGTTTACTGGTAAACTTTTCCAGTAATATACCCTTCCTCTGCAACCCTAGACATGAGTCACACTCACAATGCTTCTGCTGCTGGATGAGTAATCACACTGACTCACTGTAGCAGAGTAGCAGAACTTATATTATATACTGCACTGTAGCATATCTCAACATATTTTTATGCGTCTTCTAGTTGATGCCTCATGCAGTGATGGAAATATTGCATTTCCTATGTCTTTGTAATAACTTTTCCCCTCTGACAAGGGACAGCAGGTAGCCTAGCGGTTAATAGTGTTGGGTCAGTAACCAAAAGGTCACTGGTTTGAATCCCTGAGCCGACCATGTTAAAAATCTGTGGATGAGCCCTTGAGCAAGGCACTTAACCCTAATTGCACTGCATAAGAGCATCTGCTAAATGACTGAAATGTAAGTGGACATGTTAATGTCTCTTGTAGGCTAATAACATAATCAAGTAGCTAGCGCACACAAGATTTAGTTCTGGGTTGCGAGGTTAATGAAAATGTGCTTCTCCCCTGCCTTGTATGTAGATATGACTGTGTGTTGATTTAGCTGTGATCCTCTGAGCGGTGCTCGTTGTGGATCTCTCTTTATGTTTCTATTTCTCTGTTGTTCCTGTGGAATTTATCACTGTTGGGCCTTCCAGGAATGTGATTGGGTAAAGCACACATTCTCAGACAATTCTCATCGAATTCTCATGCACTTCTCATCGAATTCTCATGCACTTCCCATAGAACTCTCATGTACTTCTCATACAAGTCCCTGTTGCACTTCTCATAGAATTATCATACACTTCCCATACTTCTTGTACACGATTCACCATGTCTATTTTCTGATATTTCTCACTCAGCTACAAATACGTTTTTTTACTGAATTCAAATTACAAAAAATAAATTAAGATCTTCTTTGTTAATTTGTGTGAACACTTGTGAGATTTGTGTGTGTGTGTGCTCTCGCTCGTGCATATGTGTGTGCATGCATGTGTGCATGTGTGTTTGTGTTTTTTCCCTGTGACCCCACAGTACACTAAAACACATGTCTGCATCAACAGGAACAACAAAGGCAGAGACATCAAAACCATCAAGTCCCTCAGGGTCCTGAGAGTCCTACGACCTCTGAAGACCATCAAGAGACTGCCCAAACTCAAGGTACCATACTGTGTTTATGTTCATATACCAACAGGGTTGGGGAATTTCAGTTTACTTCCTGAATTGACTGAATTGAAATGGAATTGACCCCAACCCTGTCTACCAATGCTAATGTTTTGTTGACCTTCGCTCCCCTTACAGAAAAAACACATGATTTCACATGTGGAAAATCACATGATTTCACGTGTAGTTTCATGTTATCACATGTTGCTTTACATGTTGTCACATGTTATCAAATTAACTTTGCATAAGATCACATGTGAAATTCATGTGGTTTTTCCATAAAGGTCCTTCATTAAAATGAATGAAATATTTCAGGTAATTTCCAGTGAATGTGGGCTTTTACCTTCTATCCGTGCAACCATGTCATTAAGGTATCCTCTCCTCCTCTCCTTCTCCTATACAGGCGGTGTTTGACTGTGTGGTGACATCTTTGAAGAACGTCTTCAACATCCTCATCGTCTACCAGCTCTTCATGTTCATCTTTGCTGTCATCGCCGTTCAGCTCTTCAAGGGAAAGTTCTTTTACTGCACTGACAGCTCCATGGACACAGAGAAGGAATGCCAGTGAGTCCAACACACAGATGTACAGTACACCAGTGGAGGCTGCTGAGGGGAGGACGGCTCATAATAATGGCTGGAATGGAGTGCAGTTCTCCCCTCAGTAGCCTCAACTGCAGTACACATTGTGCCTGCTGCCCCCCACTTACAGTACACACACTGGAACAAACAAAGACAACACATGGATCTTACTCGTTTAGTTATTCAGTCCACACAACACCCATTTCCAATTGGTGAGTGATCAAAGGAATCCTAACCTCTTCTGTCTCTGTCCCTTAACCCTTCACAGAGGTTACTACATTGACTACGCTAGAGACAAGAAGGAAGTGAAGAAGAGGGAGTGGAAGAGGCACGAGTTCCACTATGACAATGTGTGCTGGGCTCTGCTCACTCTCTTCACTGTTTCAACTGGAGAGGGCTGGCCGCAGTAAGTCCCTGATGTTCCCTGCACTATGCTCTAACACCACATGAATGCAATTTGATATGGGATTCAGAGACTTAACATTTGCCTGTTACTATTCCTCTCTCTCTCCCTCTCTCTCTCTCTCTCTCTCTCTCTCTCTCTCTCTCTCTCTCTCTCTGGCTCTCTCTCTCTCTCTCTCTCTCTTTCTCTTTCTTTCTCTTTCTCTTTCTCTTTCTCTTTCTCTTTCTCTTTCTCTTTCTCTTTCTCTTTCTCTTTCTCTTTCTCTTTCTCTTTCTCTTTCTCTTTCTCTTTCTCTTTCTCTCTCTCTCCCTCCCTCTACTTTTTTTTTATCTCCCTCCTTACCTACAGGGTTCTGCAGCACTCTGTGGACGTGACAGAGGAGGACATGGGTCCAAGTCGTGGCAACAGGATGGAGATGTCCATCTTCTACGTCGTCTACTTCGTGGTCTTCCCTTTCTTCTTTGTCAACATCTTCGTCGCTCTCATCATCATCACCTTCCAGGAACAGGGTGATAAGATGATGGAGGAGTGTAGCTTGGAGAAGAATGAGGTACATTACAGAAAAGCAGCACACAAATGCACTCCCATTCTATTATAGCTTAAACATACTGCTGGTCCCCAGCACCCCAGAATTTGACTTAGTGAATAGGTGCTGCCAGCAATAGACCACAGGAGGTTGGTGGCACCTTACTGCTGGACCCCAGGAAGAGTAGCTACTGCCTTGGCAACAGCTAATGGAGATACATAATAAATACAAATACTCAACTTGTACACACATTCTTACAACACAAATATAAACACAGGATTTAATTCAATTGATTCACCTACAATAACCATCTTGCTATCTTGATCAGATATACACATTTGATTGATCACAATAATCTCACCGTTTCATTCCTGATTTCTTCTTCTTCTTTTTATTCTCTCTCCGTCAGAGGGCATGCATTGACTTTACCATCAGTGCCAAGCCCCTGACGCGCTACATGCCCCAGAACAGACAGACCTTCCAGTACCGGCTGTGGCACTTTGTGGCGTCACCATCGTTTGAGTACACAGTGATGGTCATGATCGCCCTCAACACTGTGGTGCTCATGATGAAGGTATGGAACCTATATCTTTGCAACACAGCTTATAAACATTACATATGTGCAGGCCTTTGTTAGAATGTAGTTTCACTCTCAAAGTCTCAAATCCATAGGAGCAAGCCTAGTGTAACCCTCTTTGTCTGATAACAGTTGAATATGACACATCTGTCTCTTTGTATTAAATATGTAACCCTCTTCTTTGCCATCACTGTTCGATACATCCCGGTCTCACCCTGACTGTGTACTGTTTGTCCGCAGTACTACTCCGCTCCAGCAGCGTACGACACGGTACTGAAGCACCTGAACACAGCCTTCACTGTTCTCTTCTCCCTGGAGTGTATCCTCAAGATCATGGCCTTTGGTTTTGTGGTGAGCAAGACAACAGGACTGAACTGTCCAACTGGGAAAATTAATGTTATGGTAGACATGGTAGCATGTTATGGTAGAATCGTTTCCATTCAAGAAAGGAGGCTTGCTTTTGTATAATGGTGCTCATTTGCCCCCTGACAGAACTATTTTCGAGACACTTGGAACATTTTTGACTTCATCACTGTGCTCGGCAGCATCACTGAGATCATTGTGGATTTACAGGTAATGTTTCACTCTAGCTCTTTAACCTTTATTTCATAACCACTGTGATTCATGAGCTGGTAATGCTGTAAAGCTTTTTCCCGCAGTAAAAATAGGCTATTAAAGTTGTAAACATACTTGTTCATTTAATCGCCTTTCAATAAAATGGATCTCTGTATATCCCTATCTGCCTATGGGTATGTTCTGTCTTCTCTGTCCCCGGACACTTCTCTGTTCCGTATACTCCTTGCCATCTCCACCTTGCCGTCTTACACCAGTTTTATATTTACTGTATTTATATTTAACATTCTGTATGTTGACTTTGTGTAAATTCCCCTGTCTGTATTCTATCTATACATTTGTCTATTGCAGTGGAGGCTGCTGAGGGGAGGACGGCTCATAATAATGGTTGGAACGGCGCAAATGAAATGGCATCAAACAAATGGAAACCATGTGTTTGATGTATCTGATACCATTCCACCAATTCCGCTCCAGCCATTACCACGAGCCTGTCCTCCCCAAATAAGGTGCCACCAACCTCCTGCGGGCTGTTGTTGGCAGCACCTATTCACTAAGTCAAATTATGGGTATGTGTTAATGTACTTGGTGAATAAAATGATTCTGATTCTGACCTCTCTATATTTCCTGTGGTCTGTCTATCTCAGTCAATAAACACATTCAATATGAGTTTCCTGAAGCTGTTCCGGGCTGCCAGACTGATCAAACTGTTGAGGCAGGGCTACACCATACGAATCCTACTCTGGACCTTTGTACAATCCTTCAAGGTCAGCCATGTTCTCCCCTGCTTTTACCACCTGTCATGTCCACTTATAATAGAACTAGTATTCTGTCTTTATTTTGTATGTCCCTGGCCCCAGCTGGCCATAGCACACACAGATGGGACTAGGCTGCTAGTGTGTGTTCTTGGGAAAACCAAATAATGATTTCTCTATTTGTATCTCTTCTTCGCTCTAGGCTCTTCCTTATGTTTGTCTGCTCATCGCCATGCTGTTCTTCATCTATGCCATCATTGGGATGCAGGTAAGACCTCCAAAGCTTATATGCTTTACAATGGTAACTTCAGCCGCAAAAAGGATGTTGTATAGCGGCTTCATGTTTTTCTCACTTGATCCACACAAGGTGTTTGGAAACATCAAACTGAACGATGAAAACCACATCAACCAGCACAACAACTTCAAGACCTTCTCCGGTGCACTGATGCTTCTCTTCAGGTGGGTGCATTGAGAAGGAATCACAAGCTGAACTGAGACATATTCAAAACTGTAAGTAGATTATTATGCTGACTGATGAATACATATATTGGTTAATGTTTAATATACTAATTGTTTGATCAATTGATCAATTGCTTGATTGATTAATTGACTCATTAATTGACTAATTGATTGACAGGAGTGCGACGGGGGAGTCTTGGCAGGAGATCATGCTATCGTGTTTGGGGGGGCAGGAGTGTGAGCCAGACTCCTCCATGGCACCCATGACCATGTCCCCTGACCACGAGGGAGGCTGTGGTACTGACTTCGCCTACTGCTACTTTGTCTCCTTCATCTTCTTCAGCTCCTTCCTGGTGAGGATGCTACAGGAATAAACGTTTTCTCCTTTCCTCCACTCTTTCTCAGCACTCTTTCTCTCCCTCACTGTCCATTTTTCTGATACACAAGAGCAATTTTTTATAGTGCTACACAGATACACTTTCTCTCCATATCTCCATTCTTTGTCGGCACTTTCTCTCTCTATGTCCATCTTTCCCATTCTCATACGCAAAAGCATTTTTTCTATTGTATGCATGGACATCAGTATAGCACATACACTACCAGTCAAAAGTTTGGACACACCTACTCATTCAAGGGTTTTTCTTTATTTCTTATATTTTTTACATTGTAGAATAATAGTGAAGACATCAAAACTATGAAATAACACATATGGAATCATGTAGTAACCAAAAAAGTGTTAAACAAATCAAAATATATTTTATATTTGAGATTCTTCAAATAGCAACCCTTTGCCTTGATTAAAGCTTTGCAGACTCTTGGCATTCTCTCAACCAGCTTCATGAGGTAGTTACCTGGAATGCATTTCAATTAACAGGTGTGCCTTCTTAAAAGTTAATTTGTGGAATTTCTTTCCTTCTTAATGCGTTTGAGCCAATCAGTTGTGTTGTGACAAGGTAGGGGGGTATACAGAAGATAGCCCTATTTGGTAAAAGACCAAGTCCATATTATGGCAAGAACAGCTCAAATAAGCAAAGAGAAACGACAGTCCATCATTACTTTAAGACATGAAGGTCAGTCAATCCGGAAAATGTCAAGAACTTTCTTCATGTGCAGTCGCAAAAACCATCAAGCGCTATGATGAAACTGGCTCTCATGAGGACCGCCACAGGAATGGAAGACCCAGAGTTACCTCTGCTGCAGAGGATACATTCATTAGAGTTACCAGCCTCAGAAATTGCAGCCCAAATAAATGCTTCACAGAGTTCAAGTAACAGACACATCTCAACATCAACTGTTCAGAGGGGACTGTGTGAATCAGGCTTTCATGGTCAAAGTGCTGCAAAGAAACCACTACTAAAGGACACCAATAAGAAGAAGAGACCTGCTTGGGCCAAGAAACACGAGCAATGGACATTAGACCGGTGGAAATCTGTCCTTTGGTCTGGAGTCCAAATTTGAGATTTTTGGTTCCAAACGCTGTGTCTTTGTGAGACGCGGTGTGGGTGAATGGATGATCTCTGCATGTGTATTTCCCACCGTAAAGCATGGAGGAGGAGCTGTTATGGTGTGGGGGTGCTTTGCTGGTGACACTGTCTGTGATTTATTTAGAATTCAAGGCACACTTAACCAGCATGGCTACCATAGCATTCTGCAGCGATATGCCATCCCATCTGGTTTGGGCTTAGTGGGACTATCATTTGTTTTTCAACAGGACAATGACCCAACACACCTCCAGGCTGTGTAAGGGCTATTTTACCAAGAAGCAGAGTGATGGAGTGCTGCATCAGATGACCTGGCCTCCACAATCCCCCGACCTCAACCCATTGAGATGGTTTGGGATGAGTCGGACGGCAGAGTGAAGGAAAAGCAGCCAACAAGTGCTCAGCATATGTGGGAACTCCTTCAAGACTGTTGGAAAAGCATTCCAGTTGAAGCTGGTTGAGAGAATGCCAAGAGTGTGCAAATCTGTCATCAAGGCAAAGGGTGGCTATTTGAAGAATCTCAAATCTATCTAAATTTGTTTAACACTTTCTTGGTTACTACATGATTCCATATGTGTTATTTCATAGTTTTGATGTCTTCATTATTATTCTACAATGTAAAAATAGTACAAATAAAGAAAAACCCTTGAATGAGTAGGTGTGTCCAAACTTTTGACTGGTACTGTATATTTGTACATACACATGCTGTCTCTCACACGTCCTCTCCTCTTGTGTGACTCTGTAGATGCTGAATCTTTTTGTGGCTGTGATCATGGATAACTTTGAGTATCTGACCAGAGACTCTTCCATCCTGGGTCCTCATCACCTGGATGAGTTTGTCCGTGTCTGGGGAGAGTACGACCGCGCAGCATGGTGAGAGAGAAGAACCCCACCATGTCTCAACTCTTCCCAGCAGAGTGCAGTGTATTGACTCTCTATAAGTGAAAAGGCCTGAACTGCCTTAATTCCTGTGCAAGATTTGCCAACCTCTTCCGTTTCAAACTCGAAATGAATGACTTAACCCTTTCCTTTTCTCCTCAACTCTCTCTTTCTCCTTCCTCATTTTTCCTGTTTCTTCTGTAGTGGGCGTATACACTACACCGCCATGTATGAGATGTTGACCCACATGTCTCCACCCCTGGGTCTGGGGAAGAAATGCCCCAGAGGTATGGCCTACAAGGTATGAGAGAAACACTTCTTTTATTTTCTTATTTTTAATTTACAGTGAGGGAAAAAAGTATTTGATCCCCTGCTGATTTTGTACGTTTGCCCACTGACAAAGAAATGATCAGTCTATAATTTTAATGGTAGGTTTATTTGAACAGTGAGAGACAGAATAACCACTAAAAAATCCAGAAAAACGCATGTCAAAAATGTTATAAATTGATTTGCATTTTAATGAAGGAAATAAGTATTTGACCCCCTCTCAATCAGAAAGATTTCTGGCTCCCAGGTGTCTTTTACACAGGTAACGAGCTGAGATTAGGAGCACACTCTTAAAGGGAGTGCTCCTAATCTCAGTTTGTTACCTGTATAAAAGACACCTGTCCACAGAAGCAATCAATCAGATTCCAAACTCTCCACCATGACCAAGACCAAAGAGCTCTCCAAAGATGTCAGGGACAAGATTGTAGACCTACACAAGGCTGGAATGGGCTACAAGACCATCGCCAAACAGCTTGGTGAGAAGGTGACAACAGTTGGTGCGATTATTCGCAAATGGAAGAAACACAAAAGAACTGTCAATCTCCCTCGGCCTGGGGCTCCATGCAAGATCTCACCTCGTGGAGTTGCAATGATCATGAGAACGGTGAGGAATCAGCCCAGAACTACACGGGAGGATCTTGTCAATGATCTCAAGGCAGCTGGGACCATAGTCACCAAGAAAACAATTGGTAACACACTACGCCGTGAAGGACTGAAATCCTGCAGCGCCCGCAAGGTCCCCCTGCTCAAGAAAGCACATATACATGCCCGTCTGAAGTTTGCCAATGAACATCTGAATGATTCAGAGGAGAACTGGGTGAAAGTGTTGTGGTCAGATGAGACCAAAATCGAGCTCATTGGCATCAACTCAACTCGCCGTGTTTGGAGGAGGAGGAATGCTGCCTATGACCCCAAGAACACCATCCCCACCGTCAAACATGGAGGTGGAAACATTATGCTTTGGGGGTGTTTTTCTGCTAAGGGGACAGGACAACTTCACAGCATCAAAGGGACGATGGATGGCGCCATGTACCGTCAAATATTGGGTGAGAACCTCCTTCTCTCAGCTAGGGCATTGAAAATGGGTCGTTGATGGGTATTCCAGCATGACAATGACCCAAAACACACGACCAAGGCATCAAAGGAGTGGCTCAAGAAGAAGCACATTAAGGTCCTGGAGTGGCCTAGCCAGTCTCCAGACCTTAATCCCATAGAAAATCTGTGGAGGGAGCTGAAGGTTCGAGTTGCCAAACGTCAGCCTCGAAACCTTAATGACTTGGAGAAGATCTGCAAAGAGGAGGGGGACAAAATCCATCCTGAGATGTGTGCAAACCTGGTGGCCAACTACAAGAAACGTCTGACCTCTGTGATTGCCAACAAGTGTTTTGCCAGCAAGTACTAAGTCATGTTTTGCAGAGGGGTCAAATACTTATTTCCCTCATTAAAATGCAAATCAATTTATAACATTTTTGACATGCGTTTTTCTGGATTGTTTTGTTGTTATTCTGTCTCTCACTGTTCAAATAAACCTACCATTAAAATTATAGACTGATCATGTCTTTGCCAGTGGGCAAATGTACAAAATCAGCTGGGTATCAAATTATTTTTCCCTCACTGTAGGATAGAGACATTTTTTTACAGTTGTTTTACTGTAAAGCATGTGGAATTCTCCCTCCCTCCCTCCCTCCCTCCCTCCCTCCCTCCCTCCCTCCCTCCCTCCCTCCCTCCCTCCCTCCCTCCCTCCCTCCCTCCCTCCCTCCCTCCCTCCCTTTCTCCTGCCCTCCCTCACTCTCTCTCTCTTCCTCCCTCCCTCCCTCCCTCCCTCACTCTCTCTCCACCCATCCCTCCTTCCCTCTCTCTCTCCACAGAGGCTGGTGTTGATGAACATGCCAGTGGATGAGGACATGTCAGTCCACTTCACCTCCACCTTGATGTCTCTCATCCGCACCGCTCTGGAGATCAAGATCGCACGAGGTCAGGGAATGAGTTGAGTTTAAAACCACCACGCATCACTGCATCTGCATGCGTTTTTCCAGTTTAGACTTGGTCTTCCATCTTGAGCCTGGAGATCCACACAGCCTAGGGCATGCTGGCTTTTGGTCCAGCCCAGTACTGGTAATATACCTTATTCAACATATAAATGGCTTGATCATTGGTTGAGTAGTTGAATCAGGAAATACAGCAACGTTAACCATTTCCCCTGTCTGTGTATAATGGATGAATAAAGATCTATTGTAATGTGGTCCAGGTGGGGAGGACCGAGTAGCTCTGGACACTGAGCTACAGAAGGAGATCAGTGTGATATGGCCATACCTCCCCCAGAAGACCCTGGATGTACTAGTACCCATCAACAAAGGTCAGACCCACACTGGAGAGAGACATGGAGAGGTAGACCTGGGGGGCAGTCAGTCAGTCAATGACTAGCAATCTAATCTAATCTGTGTTTTATAGATTCCGACATGACAGTAGGTAAGATATATGCCTCCATGATGATCATGGACTACTTCAAACAGAACAAAGCCAAGAAGCTGAGAGCACAGCTGGAAGCACAGGTCAGCTATACACACTATATGAACATTATATACACTGAGTGAGTTTACCCCTGTAGCTCAGTTGGTAGAGCATGGCGGTTGTAACGCCAGGGTTGTGGGTTCGATTCCCACGGGGGACTGGTATGAAAATGTATGCACTCACTACTGTAAGTCGATCTGGATAAGAGCATCTGCTAAATGACGTAAATGTAAAATGTAATGTAAATGAGTGTACTAAACATTATGAACACCTGCTCTTTCCATGACATAGACTGACCAGGTAAATCCAGGTGAAAGCTATGATCACTTATTGATGTCACTTGTTAAATCCACTTCAATCAGTGTAGATGAAGGGGAGGAGACAGGTTAAAGAAGGATTTTAAAGCCTTGAGACAATTGAGACATGGATTGTGTATGTGTGCCATTCAGAGGGTGAATGGGCAAGTCAAAGGATTTATGTGCCTTTAAACAGGGTATGGTAGTAGGTGCCAGGCGCACCAGTTTGTGTCAACTGCAACACTGCTGGGTTTTTCACGCTCAACAGTTTCCCATGTGTATCAAGAATGGTCCACCACCCAAAGGACATCCAGCCAGCTTGACACAACTGTGGGAAGCATTGGAGTCAACATGGGCCAGCATCCATGTGGAACGCTTTCGACACCCTCTAGATTTCATGCCCCGACGAATTGAGGCTGTTCTGAGGGCAAAAGGGAGTACAACTCAATATTAGGAAGGTGTTCTTAATGTTTTGTACACTCAGTGTATATACCTCAGTCCTCTTCTGTATAACATTATCATGGCATCTGGCATCTGTTGACACAACCCAGTGCCTGTAGTGATCTATTGCTTGGTGTGGTCTCCTCTACAGAAGGCCAGTCTGATGCCGTTCCAGCGGCTGGATACCTCGACCCTCTCTGAAGACATTCTGTCCAATGCCCAGCCCCTGCCCTGCATGCCCCACAGTGCCGGCTCCGCCCTGTGAGTCAGTCCTCACTCAGTGTGTGTGCATCCGTGCGTGCGTGCAGGCTTGCTTGCATTCGTGTATGTGTGTGTGCCTTGTGCCTTTAGTAAGTATTTGTGAGCGACCGCCTCAATTTTTTTTACATTGAATAAAAGTAGAGACTCAGAGCCAGAAAATGGTATATCATACACTGCAGTTGAGAAACAATGGGAAAGTAATTCTGTTTTGAGAAATGGCCCTTGAATGTTTTGGTACACCTACTGAAGAGCTCTTCTTTGTCTACACCCATTCAGCATCGTTCACACCCTCTTAAGCCTTAGAACCACCCATCTTTTTAAGGATTCACATGTGAGGCCATGTGGTAAACACATGCTATATCAAATAAAATATAAGTTTATTTGTCACATGCACAGGATACAGAAAGTGTAAACGGTACAGTGAAGTGGTTACTAGCAATATCAAAAACAGAAAGTGTCCAGATAAAAATATTTTATAAATATTTTATCATTATTAGATTACGCTTACCCGACACGCTTGTCTAAGTTGATGGGTCATGTGAAGGAAATGCTTTAACCACCCCCCAGTCACATCTAGCTAAGTGGATGGGTCACTATTGTCTAGACATGTACACATGTTCATGAAATACAATAGATGGCTGTAATCACCCCCAGACACGGCTGGCTAATTTGATGGGTCATGTAATAATCCGGCCGAAGTGGGGTCTTTTGTTTAGACATGTAGCTAGCTAGGTAGCTAGCTAGCAAAACAATGAACCGGCATAATCCCAACTCATACTACTACCAATACAAACATTGTCATAGCTGTAGTATGAATCTGCAGGTAGCTAACAAACTAGGTTCAATGTTAGCTAGCTAACATTAGGCTATAACTAGCAATGCAAATGGATTTCTGATAAATTGATTTGCATTTTAATGAGGGAAATAAGTATTTGACCCCTCTGCAAAACATGACTTAGTACTTGGTGGCAAAACCCTTGTTGGCAATCACAGAGGTCAGACGTTTCTTGTAGTTGACCACCGGGTTTGCACACATCTCAGGAGGGATTTTGTCCCACTCCTCTTTGCAGATATTCTCCAAGTCATTAAGGTTTCGAGCCTGACGTTTGGCAACTCGAACCTTCAGCTCCCTCCACAGATTTTCTATGGGATTAAGGTCTGGAGACTGGCTAGGCCACTCCAGGACCTTAATGTGCTTCTTCTTGAGCCACTCCTTTGTTGCCTTGGCCGTGTGTTTTGGGTCATTGTCATGCTGGAATACCCATCCACGACCCATTTTCAATGCCCTGGCTGAGGGAAGGAGGTTCTCACCCAAGATTTGACGGTCCATCGTCCTTTTGATGCGGGGAAGTTGTCCGGTCCCCTTAGCAGAAAAACACCCCCAAAGCATAATGTTTCCACCTCCATGTTTGACGGTGGGGATGGTGTTCTTGGGGTCATAGGCAGCATTCCTCCTCCTCCAAACACGACGAGTTGAGTTGATGCCAAAGAGCTCGATTTTGGTCTCATCTGACCACAACACTTTCACCCAGTTCTCCTCTAAATCATTCAGATGTTATAATATAATATGCCATTTAGCAGACGCTTTTATCCAAAGCGACTTACAGTCATGCGTGCATACATTTTTTACGTATGGGTGGTCCCGGGGTTCAAACCCAACTACCCTGGCGTTACAAGCGCCATGCTCTACCAATTGAGCTACAATTGGCAAACTTCAGACAGGCCTGTATATGTGCTTTCTTGAGCAGGGGGACCTTGCGGGCGCTGCAGGATTTCAGTCCTTCACGGCGTAGAGTGTAACCAATTGTTTTCTTGGTGACTATGGTCCCAGCTGCCTTGAGATCATTGACAAGATCCTCCCGTGTAGTTCTGGGCTGATTCCTAACCATTCTCATGATCATTGCAACTCCACGAGGTGAGATCTTGCATGGAGCCCCAGGCCGAGGGAGATTGACAGTTCTTTTGTGTTTCTTCCATTTGCGAATAATCGCACCAACTGCTGTCACCTTCTCACCAAGCTGCTTGGCGATGGTCTTGTAGCCCATTCCAGCCTTGTGTAGGTCTACAATCTTGTCCCTGACATCCTTGGAGAGCTCTTTGGTCTTGGCCATGGTGGAGAGTTTGGAATCTGATTGATTGATTGCTTCTGTGGACAGGTGTCTTTTATACAGGTAACAAGCTGAGATTAGGAGCACTCCCTTTAAGAGTGTGCTCCTAATCTCAGCTTGTTACCTGTATAAAAGACACCTGGGAGCCAGAAATCTTTCTGATTGAGAGGGGGTCAAATACTTATTTCCCTCATTAAAATGGAAATCAATTTATAACATTTTTGACATGCGTTTTTTTGGATTTTTTTGTTGTTATTCTGTCTCTCACTGTTCAAATAAACCTACCATTAAAATTATAGACTGATAATTTCTTTGTCAGTGGGCAAACTTACAAAATCATCAGGGGATCAAATACTTTTTTCCCTCACTGTACATCTTGTTTGGCCAGCATTGTGTCAAGTCACTCCGGTTCACACTGACCGTGGCGTGTGCAGAAAGTAGCCCATCACTTTTTCCCAACTGATCTGTCGATAGCACCTGCTAAATTCAGGGCATCAATGTTTTTGAGAAAAATAGCAAAACTTTTGTAGTTCTCGATGGCTAACGTTATATCTTTCAAAAACGGTGCGGTAGAAAGGACTGAGTGTCAACACATACTGAACAGCTCAGGTTATAGACAGAAGCATGCTACATGGCAGACCAATCCAAACTAATCTCTCGGCATGTCCAGCCCATCCATTATCTCAGACAATCATGGCTAGCAGGAAGGTTCCTGTCTTTTTCCATGGCTAAACCAACTAGGCTCGTAATTTAACCATTTTATTAGTATTTATGGATGGAATACAAGTTTGTTATTAAGGCACATGAAAGTTCACATGTTCCAGAAGGCTTTTCTGCCAAAAAACAGATTTTATAAAAAATACATGTTTACGTTCAAATGCCTCTCCTGTGAAGTAGTGACGTGCGACATACGCCTAGTTCCCTGAAACGAGTCACATTTGTGTTTGACAGTATTTCCTGTGTGACTTGCCTCCCTATGTAGGACCAGAGGAGGCCTGGTGGCATTGAGTCCTCTCTCCCCCCAGGACCTGTTCAACGTGCAGCCCATGACCTCTGACACGGACACCAGAAGCCAACACTCCAGGGTAACGACAAGGACCAAGTCCTATGTACTGTAGAAACACATCACAAGAGTACCAGTGGTGGAAAAAGTACCTAATAGTCATACTTGAGTAAAAGTAAAGATACCTTAATAGAAAATGACTCAAGTAAAAGTGAAAGTCACCTAGTAAAATACTACTTGAGTAAAAGTCTAAAAGTATTTGGTTTTAAATATGCTTAAGTATCAAAAGTAAATGTAATTGCTAAAATATACTTAAGTATCAAAAAGGTAAAAGTAACAGTATAAATATTTTCTAATTCCTTATATAAAGCAAACCAGTTGTCATAATTGTCTTGTTTTTTAAATTTACGGATAGCCAGGGGCATGCTCCAACACTCAGACATCATTTACAAACGAAGCATGTGTTTAGTGAGTCCACTAGATCAGAGGCAGTAGGGATTACCAGGGATGTTCTCTCGATAAGTGTTTGAATTAGGCAATTTTTCTGTCCTGCTAAGCATTCAAAATGTAACGAGTACTTTTGGGTGTCAGGGAAAATGTATGGAGTAAAAAGTACATAATTTTCTTTAGGAATGTAGTGAAGTAAAAGTAAAAATAGTCAGAAATATAAATAGTAAAGTAAAGTACAGATACCCTAAACAACTACTTAAGTAGTACTTTCAAGTATTTTTACTTAAGTACTTTACACCACTGAGGAGTACTGTACACCACACTAATCTAGCACAAACACCAACTACACAAAGTACACACACAAAGAAGCCTTTATTACATTTAGTAAGCGTACAATGATAGCTCTATAAGGCCCTTTGCTAGGAGCCAAAAGGAAAAAGTCTGCTAAGGGCAAAATATAAAATACAGCGCGTTGAAAACCTAACCTCTTGCGGTAAAGTGCAAAATATCAACCCACACATAGACAACAATGAATCAATGACACTTATCTAATAGTAATGGTTGAATGAAGATACTAGTAGTGGATAGCAGAGCACGGCATTCATGTTTCTATGTGTTTCTGTCCTTGCCTAAATTGTAGTCTGATTAGTGAAGGTTTAAAGGAGATGCAGGCATTCTCACTGTTCATTGTGCTGTTTCTAGGCTGTTTGGTTGAACTGGTCTGCAGTGTTCTGTTTGCCCTATAGGAATGTCATGACTTTGACCCTGGATATCTGTTAGTGTGTGCCTTCTTCTATGTTCTATGTATTATTCACTAGGGAGTAACATGAGTCATGACAAGCTTTAAGGAAAGGTGAACTTGTCTGGCTCAGTGTGTTTGGTGCATCCAGATCTGAACTTGCATGAGTGTGTTTAACAATAGACCCAATAGTTGTTCAGGTCTCTTTCTCTTCTCATTTATTGTTTTAGCGATGTGCTTGTGCTTCCGTCTCCTCTTGCTCTCTGACTTTCTCCTCCTGCTTTGCCCAATCTTTCTGGGGTCAGTCTCCTTGTTGTCATTGGTTGCTAATCTGTGGCTCTTTGGCTGGAATGGCTTCTGATTGGTTGGTTATAATGGAATGGCCTAGGTTTGCTCTACCCAATTGCAGAAAGGCCTTGTGAATTCTTACCATGTAACATTGTCTGAAGCCCTCCTTGGCTGGAACCCCAAAATACAGTTAGTCCCTGTATTGAATTGACCAGCCTGATCTACTGTACTCTATCTCGCCCCTCACTCTCTCTCTGTCTCTGGTCTCATATAGGTGAGTGCAGGGGAGTGCAGTGGGTTGATTCCTGACCCACTGGCGCTCCCGTTTGGCAGGGGGCTGTGTGTACGGGCCTCCTCCATGCCTCGTCTGGCTGTAGAGCCACAGGTACTGCCCTCTGACCACACTGACTCCTCCAGGGGCCAGAAGGGCCCGGGCAGCAAGGGGGCTCCAGAGTGTGACATGCATGTCTGTGTGACAGAAGACAATGGTTGTGCCGTTTAGAGAGAAAAATGGGTTTTATGTGTCTTCCGTTTACTGCTGGCGTGTCTGGAGCGGGATAATCAACATGGATGTTTTTCTAAGGAATGCTAGTGGTTCAGAATGGTGTTTGATTGATCCTGGGTTACTGGTATGTTTTGCCTGACCTCTCTCTCTGTCTTTCTATCCACAATGAGATGAGGAGGAAAATTAGGCGGTCCAAGCGTACTAGTTGACCTGTTAATTTCCTGGAATAGTGAGCATGGATATGAATTAAAAACAGGGAACGCTACATGGATCGCCAGATCAATGGATTTGTTCTAAAGTAATAAAACATATTTTATGGTATTTGTGGGTATTTGGTTGTCTCCTCCTCTGTGTGTATGTCCATGTGCACGTGTGCGTGTGCGTGTGTGTGTGTGCGTGCGTGTGTGCGTGTGTGTGTGTGTGTGTGTGTGTGTGTGTGTGTGTGTGTGTGTGTGTGTGTGTGTGTGTGTGTGTGTGTGTGTGTGTGTGTGTGTGTGTGTGTGTGTGTGTGTGTGTGTGTGTGTGTGTGTGTGCGTGCGTGCATGTGCATGTGCAGACCGAGATGGCCAGTGGCTCTATGAAGCGGTCCTCGTCCACTGTGGCTGACCAGAGGGTGAATGGCCTGTGGCAGGAGGAGAAGAAGAGTCCTGATAGACTGTACAGACCACGCCACAAGAGCTACAAGGCTGCCGGTTAGTCTCCACTCTCCACTCACGTGACCTCTCTTCTTATCAGTCCCACTGGCATGATGAGTGATGAGGGGTGTTATTAGTGTGTGGTTATTGTATGCTTAAAGAGTTATTCTTCCCTACATTTTCCATTTCTTTTTTATGTCTTTATCCTAAGTGCATCAATGATGATCCACTTGTCAACATACTATTTACTGATCTACAGTGTACTGATAACGTTACCTTTTACTGATCTACAGTGTACTGATAACGTTACTGTTTACTGATCTACAGTGTACTGATAACGTTACTATTTACTGATCTACGTTACTGTAGGCTAATTGTTCGATTTATGGGCGTAAGCATGTAGCCTCAATCCTGTCCTTTGATCATACCCACTCTCTTTATCTGTTGCTGTCCCTCTCTGTCCCCCTCTCTCTTTATCTGTTGCTGTCCCTCTCTGTCCCCCTCTCTCTTTATCTGTTGCTGTCCCTCTCTGTCCCCCTCTCTCTTTATCTGTTGCTGTCCCTCTCTGTCCCCCTCTCTCTTTATCTGTTGCTGTCCCTCTCTGTCCCCCTCTCTCTTTATCTGTTGCTGTTCCTCTCTGTCCCCCTCTCTCTTTATCTGTTGCTGTCCCTCTCTGTCCCCCTCTCTCTTTATCTGTTGCTGTCCCTCTCTGTCCCCCTCTCTCTTTATCTGTTGCTGTTCCTCTCTGTCCCCCTCTCTCTTGATCTGTTGCTGTCCCTCTCTGTCCCCCTCTCTCTTTATCTGTTGCTGTCCCTCTCTGTCCTCCTCTCTCTGTGCTCCTTGCCATGGTCTTCCTCTTCCTCATCCAGTGTCGCGGTCAGAAAGGAAGAGGCAGTTGGACACGGAGAAGGAGCGCGGAAGGTCTAAAGAGCGCCGCCACCTCCTCTCCCCAGACACGTCCCGCTGTACCTCCGAGGAGAGGAGCCTGCAGCCCTCACGCTCCCCTAGCCGGGCGCGCACACATCACATGGACAAACAGGTAGGCCACACACACACACACACACACACACACACACACACACACACACACACACACACACACACACAGGATGCTTTACCAAGGGAACATATTAAAGACCCATACACCATTAGTCACCGCTGAAGCCACAAACACTTGTTTAGACCATCTAGACCACAAACACATACCCACATTTGAAGAACTGGTAGGCCACATACACACTTTTAAAAAAGGCAGTCAGACATCTGTATTAAATGTGTTTCCACTCCTGTGTCCAGGGCAACAGCTCCGACAGCCCCATCCCCACCTCTGAATCTAGTACACCTAGCCGCCGCCCCCTGTCCCAGACCCCAACGCGCTCCCATCCCCACATCTCCTACTCCCCTCTGGTGTGTCGCACGCACCCTCCCTCAGGGGACGATGATGACGACAGGGGCAGCCCAGAGACTCAAAGGCGGGGGGAGGCCTCCAGAGAGGGGGCAGGGGGAGAGGGACAGAGCGGGGCGAGGGGCCGTCGCCACCAGCAGGGCTCCCCTCCGCGTCGCTACCCGTCGGAGCCCTACCTGGCCCTGCAGGAGGATGAGCACAGTCTGGACCCCACCGGGTTCATGGAGACGCTGACTTTCGAGGCGGCAGTGGCCACCAGCCTGGGACGTGCTAACACGGTCAGCTCCACATCCAGCTCCACCTTCAGTTCCGCTCGACGGGGCTCCAGGAGCGGCTGGCAGGTCCCCAATGGACACTTCCGGAAACGCCTGGCTCAGACCGTCTCTGTTGCGGGCTGTGAGCCACTCAGCGACACAGAAGAGGACGACCGCTGCTAGGAGGAGGAAGAAGTGGAGGCGTAGGAGAGGTGAAGAAGGAGCGTAGGGAGTAAAGAGTAAAAGATGTACTACATTATAAAGGAAAAGGGACATTTGTCACTCTCTTGCATTACTACTGCATACCTGTGTGATTGTAGTATGTTTTCTCAAATGCGAGAGGAGAACAAAAATAAGAACATTGTTTTTCACTTCCTGCAAGTGGAATCCTTTGAAAGTCACACAGAAAATGTACAATAAATATCTACCCACAAATATTTGACTGTGGTTCATTTATATTCTGACTATCAAAAGAAAGATCGTAATAATAAACCTCAAATAGCCTTGGATGTACAGAAAAGAGATTAAATGAATAGAATTGTAATTTGTGTCAATAGGTATTGTCATATCTGAAGGTGTTTCTCTGGCATTGATTCAGTGTTGCTCTTAACAGTGTGTGTGGGGTGTGAATATGAAACTATGTGCAAAATAAGGAGTAACCATATCTTTGAAAGACATGGTTTTTGTAAATACATGTGGGTTTTTTTCATATAAATATGCCACCAGTACCACTTGATTGTCTGAGTAGGATACATGGCCATAAAGAAGGGTAACTGTCAATGTACTTTATAAATTAATGTAATGTAGTCATGTCTATGTAACAAAATACACCCAAACAATAATTGATCAAGCGTGTGTTTTCAAATTTTAGTAGAGCTGAGTTCGTTTTTGACCTTTTGCACCCTCCACCATTAGATTTCCTATCCCTTTACTGTCTACGAAGGGAACACACTTCTTTAATAAGAATCTATTCATACGTAAACCATGTAACTCCTGTTGTAATTTTTTTAAGGAATAAAACAATGATCAATACAAGCAGAAAAGTAAATGGCACATTGTCTTCTGTTGGAAATCTGTATGATTTATTTTTCTTTTTTTACCAACTTGCAGGACAATGGACAGCAACCAACAATGTCATGAAATGTGATTGCTTTCAATAAAATGATACATTAATTTTCAGAAAAGGAATGCCTAAATATCCAGTGTGATTTGAAAGACAGTGCTTTGTTATGAACAGGACTCTAGAGAACCAAATGACTAGAACTATACCCAGAACATGGCTTCAATACAAACCTTTATTAAGCCAATAGGAAAACCAGCAGATCCTGTGGCTGTCTTGAACCAACCTTTATCTTCTTGATGTACTGTACTATATCTGTTTTTCTTCAGTTGTTACAATATTTTTTGACATTTGACTGATTAATTCCTTGTCATCTTCTGGAATCAATAACTGGCACAGAAACAATCATGAACTTTAGTATTTTCTTCTTCATCAATGTAGCCATCCAGGTTCTCCTCTTCTTCATTAGCCTACCACGTAATCAGTACGTGTCAAAGACCTCCCTGCAACTGTATATCTTCTTCCTAGATTGGTTTATATGAATACTGTTTGAACCATTACAGAGGACACATGTAGGAAGATGTTTTCAACACACCTGATTTCACCCGTTATTTAGAATGGTTTACTAATAATGTACAGTACATTTATATCATGCTTTCTGTAAGATTGTAAGAGAACATATCCCTTTCAGCTCACAACACACTTGAAGGGTGGAATAAGATATCTCTGGAATGTTAATTTAAGGTATATGTATTTGTTTTATTTGCCTGAAAAAGGGTAATGATTCTGTGAAACTCACTTAACCAAAAAACATAGAGAATTGTATCATACGTTCCTGGAATGCAAATAGCTGTTTGGTTTATATGTGTAAAATAGATGTATATACAGTATGAATAAAGTTTCCTAAATTCCAAGAAAAGTGTCCACAATTGCAGTTATGTGGCTGCTCCTCTCGGTATCTGATGTAGACCAATGGTCAACTCCAATCCTTATACAACTCTCTATAAGGCTCTGAAGACTGGGTAAGGTAAACATTTGGCTGAATGTTGTTTACACTTTACAGTAGACCACTTCAGGGAATAACAATACATGAATTATGAGATGAAACCAACAATTGTGACCTTTGTTGAAGAACAAAATGGTATATAATTCATAACCCCTGAAATAATTCACTATTTGGGTCTTGTGCCAACCACCACTTTTATTTTCCTCGTGTAAGGTTGAATTGCAACCATTTAATGAAAGTGCAAACGCATACTCCTCTCACTCCCCTTCTGACAAAGGCAACAACACTAAAACCGTTACGTCATATCCAATGGACGCCGAGTTGTCCTCAGCTCAGGTTGAAAAAGAGAATAATATTGCAAGCTAGCCAGACACTTACTTTATTCGTGAAGTCAGTGGTCTATATTTGTGAAAAATATAGTTTTTCTATCGCTTAATATTGTTATGATAGTTCCTATTTGATTGAACGTTTTTAATTTCAAATCTTAGGCCGAGGAATGAGTGATATTAATCAAGGAAGTCGCTTGCTGGTTAGCCAAAAGCGTTAGCTAGCAGAAGTATCTCGCTAGCTAGCTCTTTGTTTTGACTGTGATGGTCTGATGATGTTGAATAGCTTGGACAGCTGATGGGTCTCGAGCTAGTGTTCGTATGAACATGTATATTATGTTTTAATAGGTTGTTAAACAGTATTTAATGTGTAATAACATTACTTCTGCGACGAGGGGAGGAGACATTTGGTTGTAAACGAACAATAGCAAGTTTACAAGCTAGCTAAACAACGAGGGACTGAGAAGTGGACATGGGCAATTGTCTGAAATCGCCGACGTCGGACGATATATCTTTGCTTCACGAATCCCAGTCCGACAGAGCAAGTTATGGGGAGGCAGACCCGGATTTGGAGCCACCTCCGCCTTACCAGGTCAGACTTTATAGCTACTGGTGTTAAAGCTAGAATCTTTAGTTGCTACATACATTTTGGGACTTATTATGTAGCTATACACTGATTCTTAAAGAATATAACTTATAAATGCCTCATGAGCTTAGTTCAACAGTCGTACCCTATCAGAACCCAAAATATACTCTTGTTTTGTTTATAAACAATGTAATAATAATAATAATATGCCACTTAGCAGACGCTTTTATCCAAAGCGACTTACAGTCATGCGTGCATACATTTTTGTGTATGGGTGGTCCCGGGGATCGAACCCACTACCCTGGCGTTACAAGAGCCGTGCTCTACCAGCTGAGCTACAGAGGACCACATAATGTAGCTAAATGTAAACAAACACTGTATAGCCTCTAAACATGGTTATAATTATAATTTTGATATCGTGGAGGGTCAGTCCTTATTGCATCCATAGCTCTGTCAATTCATTTGAGAGGGGTTCCATTTCTCCATGCCCATCCCTCAGATTTTTACCAAAACAGAGGCGTGGTAACACTTTGTTATTGTTTCAATTAAGGACTCTAGCTTTAAGTATTGCTATGCGAATTGACAGAATCATGCAAGACATTTACATTTTAGTCATTTAGCAGACGCTCTTATCCAGAGCGATTTACAGGAGCAATTAGGGTTAAGTGCCTTGCTCAAGGGCACATCGTCACCTAGTCGGCTTGGGGATTAGAACCAGCGACCTTTCGGTTACTGGCACAACGCTCTTAACCACTAAGCTACCTGCCGCCCCTGAGGGTCAAGTGCATTGAACATCTTTAGAAAACCTGGTCAAATATGGCCTAATTATTTAGCTAGATTATTTATTTTATTTTATATGATTGCATACTATTTCTGACTCATTCATCTAGGGATAGTTTCAAGTTACACTACCGTTCAAAAGTTTGGGGTCACTTAGGAATTTCCTTGTTTTCCATGAAAACATACATGAAATGAGTTAGAATACTAAATATAGCAAAATGAATAGGAAATGTAGTCATTGACAAGGTTAGAAATAATGATTTGTAATATAAATAATAATTGTGTTCTTCAAACTTTGCTTTCGTCCACCATGCTTGACAGATGGTATCAAGCACTCCTCCAGCATCTTTTCATTTGGTCTGCTCTCACAAATGTTCTTCTTTGTGATCCGAACACCTCAAACTTCGATTAGTCTGTCCATAACACTTTTTTCCAATCTTCTTCTGTCCAGTGTCTGTTCTTTTGCCCATCTTAATCCTAGAAGGTCAGCATCCCGGAGTCGCCTCGTCACTGTTGATGTTGAGACTGGTGTTTTGTGGGTACTATTTAATGAAGCTGCCAGTTGAGGACCTGTGAGGCGTCTGTTTCTCAAACTAGACACTCTAATGTATTTGTCCTCTTGCTCAGTTGTGCACCGGGGCCTCCCACTCCTCTTTCTATTCTGGTTAGAGCCAGTTTGCACTGTTCTGTGAAGGGAGTAGTACACAGCGTTGTACGAGATCTTCAGTTTCTTGGCAATTTCTCGCATGGAATAGGCATCATTTCTCAGAACAAGAATAGACTGACGAGTTTCAGAAGAAAGTTATTTGTTTCTGGCCATTTTGAGCCTGTAATCGAACCCACAATTGCTGATGCTCCAGATACTCAACTAGCCTCAAGAAGGCCAGTTTGATTACTTCTTTAATCAGCACAACTGTTTTCAGCTGTGCTAACATAATTGCAAAAGGGTTTTCTAATGATCAATTAGCCTTTCAAAATGATAAACATGGATTAGCAAACACAACGTGCCATTGGAACACAGGACTGATGGTTGCTGATAATGGGCCTATGTAGATATTCCATTATATATATATATGTATTTCTGATCAATTTTATGTTATTTTAATGGACAAAAAAATTGGTTTTCTTTCAAAAACAAGGACATTTCTAAGTGACCTCAAACTTTTGAACGGTGGTGTAATAGTTGCAGTCAAATGTGTAGTTTTAACAGCTATGCTACTTCAGATGAGCCACAATAAAATATTTAAAGGGAAAAGGAATAGGGTTGCACTGAAATTCTTGTTTTCATAGGTAGGCCTATTTGCAACTGATTGTTATGGGTCTGATTTTTCACATATCAATAGTTGAACATACCCAGTCACACAAAGAGAAAAAAACACACAGCACTTTTGTTGCCCAAATGCTTTTCAATCTCACAAAAGTGTTCTAAACAGGCTTGCCAAGAATGTCCAGACTGGGCAGTTTTTTCTGGCTGCTTTATCCATGGCAGGGTGTGTGTTTTGGCTCGTCACAGCGCAGAACACACAGCATGATAGACTCCTACTTTCTCCTTGTTGTATCACACTTTCATGTAGGCCTCACACACAACTCCACCTCAAATCACCCAAAACTAGATAGCTGCCGAGTCATACGCTGGCTGCCCAAAAGTAGTGTAATTGTTGATGTATTGGATGTCTGTTGATGTATTGGATTTTCCGTGCCAGTGTTTCTGCTACTTTAATTTCCAGGTTCCCTCTGGCAACAACATTGTCAATTGAAACCATTACAAGACACACTCTTATGGGCGGGGTGGAACTGATGATGTATGTGTATAAACCCTGGATGACTGACAGGTGGCGCTGTGTTGAAGCCACCGCACATCCAACTTGGTATTCCTCCTCAATTATACAAATTATTTTGGAAGATTTAGAAATGCATTTATTAATGTCTATATATCTTTTTGACACATTTATTCTATTACAGACACTTTAGTGCATACTTTTAAATTATATTATGTGAGCTAAACATGAAAAATAAAATTAACAAAAATATAAAAACATTTTCCTTGAAGGATATTTTTTTTGGATTACTAATGTTACTGTTCCCACTACAACAACAAAAATACTTAAATACATGTAATTTTGTCATTGAACCATTTAATTGAGATACTGTAGAATTCCATTCATTCCTATGGAGGACTGCTCCTACTAGGGAATGCCAATATGGTGGCTTCAAAGCCTCTCAATGGCCAATACATAGCGTCAGCAATCCAGGGTTTATACAGTGGGGAGAACAAGTATTTGATACACTGCAGATTTTGCAGGGTTTCCTACTTACAAGGCATGTAGAAATCTGTAATTTTTATCATAGGTACACTTCAACTGTGAGAGACGGAATCTAAAACAGAAATCCAGAAAATCACATTGTATGATTTTTAAGTAATTAATTTGCATTTTATTGCATGACATAAGTATTTGATACATCAGAAAAGCAGAACTTAATATTTGGTACAGAAACCTTTTTTGTTTGCAATTACAGAGATCATACGTTTCCTGTAGGTCTTGACCAGGTTTGCACACACTGCAGCAGGGATTTTGGCCCACTCCTCCATACAGACCTTCTCCAGATCCTTCAGGTTTCGGGTCTGTCGCTGGGCAATACGGACTTTCAGCTCCCTCCAAAGATTTTCTATTGGGTTCAGGTCTGAAGACTGGCTAGGCCACTCCAGGACCTTGAGATGCTTCTTACGGAGCCACTCCTTAGTTTCCCTGGCTGTGTGTTTCTGGTCGTTGTCATGCTGGAAGACCCAGCCACGACCCATCTTCAATGCTCTTACTGAGGGAAGGAGGTTGTTGGCCAAGATCTCGCGATACATGGCCCCATCCATCCTCCCCTCAATACGGTGCAGTCGTCCTGTCCCCTTTGCAGAAAAGCATCCCCAAAGAATTATGTTTCCACCTCCATGCTTCACGGTTGGGATGGTGTTCTTGGGGTTGTACTCATCCTTCTTCTTCCTCCAAACACGGTGAGTGGAGTTTAGACCAAAAAGCTCTATTTTTGTCTCATCAGACCACACGACCTTCTCCCATTCCTCCTCTGGATCATCCAGATGGTCATTGGCAAACTTCAGACGGGCCTGGACATGTCCTGGCTTGAGCAGGGGGACCTTGCGTGCACTGCAGTATTTTAATCCATGACGGCGTAGTGTGTTACTAATGGTTTTCTTTGAGACTGTGGTCCCAGCTCTCTTCAGGTCATTGACCAGGTCCTGCCGTGTAGTTCTGGGCTGATCCCTCACCTTCCTCATGATCATTGATGCCCCACGAGGTGAGATCTTGCATGGAGGCCCAGACCGAGGGTGATTGACCGTCATCTTGAACTTCTTCCATTTTCTAATAATTGCGCCAACAGTTGTTGCCTTCTCACCAAGCTGCTTGCCTATTGTCCTGTAGCCCATCCCAGCCTTGTGCAGGTCTACAATTTTATCCCTGATGTCCTTACACAGCTCTCTGGTCTTGGCCATTGTGGAGAGGTTGGAGTCTGTTTGATTGAGTGTGTGGACAGGTGTCTTTTATACAGGTAACAAGTTCAAACAGGTGCAGTTAATACAGGTAATGAGTGGAGAACAGGAGGGCTTCTTAAAGAAAAACTAACAGGTCTGTGAGAGCCGGAATTCTTACTGGTTGGTAGGTGATCAAATACTTATGTCATGCAATAAAATGCAAATTAATTACTTAAATATCATACAATGTGATTTTCTGGATTTTTGTTTTAGATTCCGTCTCTCACAGTTGAAGTGTACCTATGATAAAAATTACAGACCTCTACATGCTTTGTAAGTAGGAAAACCTGCAAAATCGGCAGTGTATCAAATACTTGTTCTCCCCACTGTATATGTCATTGGGTGGAACAGCCTTAGGTGGAACAGACCACCCCACCCGGCTTATACAAGGGATCAGTTCAGTTTAGTTGGCCTGTGGATTGACTCTCTGTATGTGTGTTTTTTTCCAGGAGGAGGCCCACATGCCGGTGTACCACCCCACCCCCAGCCAGGCCCGCCTGGCCAGCCAGCTGACTGAGGAGGAGCAGGTCCGTATCGCCCAGCGTATCGGCCTCATCCAGCACCTCCCCCGGGGTGTCTACGACGGAGGGCGGGACGGCTCCGAGAAGAAAATCAGAGAGTAAGCATCTGCTTACCGTTGTTTTTATTAATATATTAATATTATTAGTTTACCACTGTTTTTATTATCTGATGTAATTGATATAGGTCACTGCTCATGTGACCTGAGCGGGTAAAACTCTGGCCCTAGTTGTAGCATGTAACTCTGTTTGTATAACATAACTAGTGCCCAGAGTTTTTCCTGGTCAGTTAAAGTGCTGAGGAAAAAGTTATCAAAACCACTATTCATAATTTTCTAGGTGTGTGATATGTATGATGGACTTTGTGTACGGGGACCCCATCCGGTTCCTGCCCTGCATGCACATCTACCACATGGACTGTATAGACGACTGGCTGATGAGGTCCTTCACCTGTCCCTCCTGCATGGAGCCTGTGGATGCCGCCCTGCTCTCCACTTACGAGACCAACTGACCCCTAACACAACCCTACCCCCTGCTGCCGAGCTCTGCCTTGCTACCCCCCTATAAACATGCGCACACATACACACACACTTCCACTAGCCCCAACAAACACACACATGCTGCCCCCCTCCCCTCTGCTTTTTACCTTGGGATAAGGAGCAGCACAGTGTCTTGGTCGGTGATGACATACGAGAGAGAGACTATGTAAACACTAGTGATTAACAATGAAAATACTTTGACCCATCCACCCATCACCTGGAACTGGCTCTGAACTGGAACTGAAACTGGCTCTGAACTGGAACTGGCTCTGAACTGAACTGGCTGAGTCATGGTCTGACTGAAAGAAGGCAACATTAGACAACTGTCTACATAGGAGGACAAGCATGCATAATGTGTGTGTCTGTGGTGGACTGGGTTCCTGAGTCAACTGTTTAATACAGTACTTGAACTGGGTTGGTGATGTTATGGTCAGAAGAGGGGGAGGGGGGCTGTTACCGTAGTGATGGCTCACTGCATTGCCACTTGAGCAGGTCTCGGTGGCATCCCATCCCAGCCAATCATTATTCACCATGATTAGTAGCTGGGAATGGGATTGGATCATTTTCTGTAATCTGAATTTGGCCACCAGGAGGTATCCTATCAGATTCCTTTAGAAGCCAAAGCTGGCAACAACAAGACGATAACATTACTCATCGGTCTTCTAAAGTCTCAAAATCCTGCACTCTGAATATGATTTAGTAATGGCAAAACAGCCCCAGGAAGCCGGCATGGTGGCACATAATGGTTATCTCTCTACGGACTGAAGCATACCCTGTTTTAGTGTTAGAGTTTCAAAATAAAAGAAGTTACAGAGCATAGCCTCCTTTAGGATTACAAAAACAACAACTAGTATGCACATACACAGTGCAGAAATCACCCAAAGCCCATCCTCTATTAGACTATGATATGTTTAATGGAGAAACACATACTTAGCTTTTGTTTTGTCATTCAGATTTACCATTCTAAATGGCTCCACTGCCATTCCAAATGGCCTGAAGAAGTGTATGAGCTGTATGTCAGTCATCCTGTGTAAGGTTTATAGGTTTTACAATAAGAGGAGTAACATAGCTGTCAGCCAATGTAAAGGGCTCATTTGTGCATGTGCAGGATGATCAGTCTAAAAGTTAGGAATGCTTGCACACACATTAATCTGATCCCGAGATTTGCACTTTACTTATAGGACAATAACGGAAGCATTATATTAATATATATACCTATAACCTTGCACTTTTCAATATTATTTCTTCTTTTCACAGCACAGAAGTTAAGATTGATATTGATAATGCTGTCAATGCTACCATTGGTCACTTATCACGTTGAAGTAAAGTTGAATAGCTGAATATGTATTCATGAATTGTGTGATTCAGTAGTGTGCATCTGCTTTGTTTTGCTTGTCTTGATTCTAGTGTGTGTTTTTGTGTGGAAGTGACTGAGGGAAGGGGACAGAGGTTTGCTTTGTCTCGGATGAGACAATAAGGAATAGGATAATATTTATTCCCTTACTTAGCTTACTTACCTGTATTTTCAATCTTCTCCCACAGTCGTCATTGCGCCCAAAAATGTTCTTGCTGTTTAAAAAAAAAAGTTTGTTTTGTTTTTTGCTTTTTATATATGTTTGTAGCGTTGCGGTGAATTATTCCCATTACATTTTTTGTTTATATTATATTGATACCCTTTTCTGTATTGATGTTTGTATATCTCCTACCTTTTAGATATATTGTTTGTCATTGTGTTTGTGGGAGATACGTCTTTCCTATTAGAGTTTACACTGCCTTGAGTATGCATCTGCAAACCTCTGTCCCAAAGATATTTGTAAGAGGGAGAAGTTTTCTCTCATAGTTTCACAGTGACATTAAAAGACAACACACGTTTTTCAATTTTTAGCTTTGTTTTGCAGTGTTTTTCAGGACTCTGAAAATAAATGTAATCTCCTGTAATCTTGGTCTTTGAAAGGCCAACCATCCCTCATATTGAAGCTGTAACAAAATAAAAATAAACAAAAAAGCACACATTTTTGTCATGCTTGACTTATTAGTGTTCTGAGATTGTAGTATCTTCTTACACCAGATGTTAGTCAAATGTTACATTTCCCCTTTTATCCTATCAGCACAGTACATCATTATTTCTGATTAGTTTTTTAGCTGCTATAATCATGGCAATGGTGTTTCAAAGTCTCTTGCCACATACGGTATTGTACAAGCCAGGCTTTTATGGCCATCATGATCTGTGCTTTTACAGAAGTGATTAGTTGCGACATGCCTGTTTGTTTCTCAGATTAGACGTTTGACCCAATTAATCGGTATGATCAGCTTAGTTTAGCAATGCTGCAATGCAATCGCCTGACCAGCTTAGACTAGCGGGGTTAATGCCATGGTACGGAGACAACATTGTACAAAACATGGGCTCTGTCAAAAAAATGACTCTAGTTGCAACATGCTAAATTGCTTGTACTTTTCCTTGAAACTAAATACACCTAATCTGATTTTCTTTGGCAACATAACTAATCTTTGTGGCTCTTTCACTAGTAGTTACACTCAGTATGAGAAACGCGTTTGGGTGCAAGGCCTCAGAATGTATTCAGATCCTTTTTTCATGATGGAGCATTGGTCAGTGGAGGTTCCTCAGAGGAGGAAGGGGAGGGCCATCCTCAGCGAATTTCATAAAAATAAAAATTGTGAAACTTTTAAAAGTTATAATTTTTAGATACAAATATACTAAATATATTCACGTCACCAAATAATTGATTAAAACACACTGTTTTGCAATGAAGGTCTACAATAGCCTCAACAACACTCTGTAGGGTAGCACCATGGTGTAGCCGGAGGACAGCTAGTTTCCATCCTCCTCTGGGTACATTGACTTCAATACAAAACCTAGGAGGCTCATGGTTCTCACCCCCTTCCATAGACTTACACAGTAATTATGACAACTTCTGGAGGACGTCCTCCAACCTATCAGAGCTCTTGCAGCATGAACATGTTGTCCACCCAATCAAAGGATCAGAGAATGAATCTAGTACTGAAAGCATAAGCTACAGCTAGCTAGCACTGCAATGCATAAAATGTGGTGAGTAGTTGACTCAAAGAGAGAGAAAGACTATAGTTGAACAGTTTTGAACAAATTAATTTCTTCAAAAATGAAGGAGAAGCAAGAGAGAGTGAGCTAGCTATGTTTCGTTGTTTTTTTTCACTTTTACTTTCACTTACTTAGCTAGCAAATGCAGCCTGCTAATTTAGCCTACTCAAACACCCGGCTCAAACAGAGAGGAATTCTATGTTAGCTAGCTGGCGATGGCTATCCAACACTGGAACTCTTCCAAGTCAAGGTAAGCTTTTGGTTTGATTAATTTATTGCCACCTGGGCCCGCCTGCTTGCTAACTGTACACTGTGCTGCGTGATTGTAGCGGGTTTACTAACGCATTAGTTCTAGTAGCTATGTTGACTATGACTATGACTTTAGCTAATATGGTGACAACGTTGTAGGCTGTGGTTATGTATGAAGGTTTGGCTTGGAAAGTTTTTTTTTGCCTGGTCACAGACAGCTGATATGTTGTGCACTGAAGTCCACAAGCGAAGGGAAAAGGTGAAAGGAGGAGAGCGCGTAGATGCGAGAAGGAATTATACAACGAGAAAAGTGATCATGCTGTTTGTACGTGGCTGCTATGAAAGTGAACTGTGTTTACGTGTAATCAGGGGTGTATTCATTCCGCCGTTTCTTAAACGGAAGCAAACGGAACGAAACGGTGATAAACATACCTGAATTTGTCTAATAGAAACTCTTGTTTGCAACTGTCTGACTAATGATTACACCCTAGATCAGCTAGATGCAGCAAAAGTGTGCAAGGCGGAATTGAATGTGTCACTGTCTGTCATCTTGATTACTTTAATTTTTCTCTTGACCTGTGCACCTACATTGTAAACTAGGCTAGGTTGTAGCAACCTCATGATGGATGTAGAGAAAATGTGAGTATCATGTAGTAGCCTAAACCTATCGATGTTACATTGAGCTGGGTGAATGGAATATGAATGACAGTCATCCAATATGCTGTACTAGAAATAAGGCCATGCTCATAAAAATAAAAATAAATCGTCCTCCCTCATCTTAAACGGCACCGACCACCACTGATTCACATGGAGTGGAGGGACTTTGGCCTAGATTCAGTCAGATCAAGAGTTAGCCGGCATTAGCAGACACCCACATAGTGGATATTTTGCCGGTGTCGGAGGTGGAACTGTGTTGGAGCCTTCAAATCGGTGAACAGCTGCTCTTGTGATCATTGTCACGAAGCCACACCGCCCACTCCTGTTAGAAGTTCAGAAGGAGGCAATATAGAAATAAATACACTCAAATTAAAAAATAATTACATTAAATAATTAGGATTTCTATTATCCTAATCGAGGTGTAGATTACATCTCACATTCCAGTGGTCGAACTTGTAAACAAGGCTGCATGGGATTTATCTTGATGTACCTCTGTGCAGCCAATGGCAATGTCCGCTTTAGGTATAATGCCAGGAGCCACTTGTGGATTTGACAGCTATAACTTAGTTCAACCTTCAACACAGCCAAAACAACCGCTAGATCTGATTGAATAGAATAGCCATGGAGCAAAGGGACTGTATTGTTGTCCTTTGGGGCTAGTTCTTTCATGTATGTACCTTTACTACATGTGCATCTAGGAAATTAGTTTTTTATACAATATAGAATAGTCAAGTTATTAGTTACACACAACATTCAACTTTCTTTCCTAAAATAACTGACATACAATAAAAAGGCCAGTATTTTGATTATATTTTAATTATTCCAACCCTGAAGTACTCAAGAGACATGGTACTTTGAACAAACTCATTGATTTCCAGCACTGACACAAAAATTGTATTAACCAATCAGGGTGTTGTCACTGAGGTGCCGCTGATCTTGTTATGCTGTGGGCTCACTGAGAAATAATTGTAGGAAGCCTACTAATGCCCTGATACCAGCAGGTTCCATTCATACAACGAAATGGCACATTTTCACCAAAATGGATGCTCAACCATACTGAATCATAGGTTGCAGAAAGTTAAATGACTTCAAATCATTTTGCTGACACAACAAGGCAAGTTATTTGTAGCCTATACTTTGTCATTGTTTATTTATTTGTTCTAATGCTGAGTTAAATTTGATGCTTAGTTAGTTTGAATACCCTGGAATGGTGACTACTAGTCTTTGTGCCTTGAGGATTGTTGACATGTTATTTCTTGTACATTCCGTGGAAGGTGACGGGCATAGGGCAGTCCACCTCTGCCCTGGCGATCTCTGACATGTCCTTGGCATTGAGGATCAGCATGTACCCTGACTTCTGGGCCCCGGGGGATATTACAACGGTCAACAGAACTCCTGTGGGTCATTGGAAAAACACACTGGTTGTTAGAAAAACACAGTGCCCACCACATTGTAACTGTAACTCGTATTTTTATGAATTTTGCTGAGTGCATTTTTCTACTAAATGTAAGTGCCTTTTCCCTGGAGAAATAGCTAAAGGGCTCTATTCAATCCGCATCGCGGAAGTTCAGCTTTACAGCATGATTGAAGTTTAAAGGCAATGTTCCTGCTTTATCGGAGACAGCATTCACGGTAAACGCTGCATATGTCAGTTCAATCGGAAATTACCTCTACATTTCTATCATGGATTGAATAGAGCCCAAAGTCTCTTAAACTCTCTTCCAAACACTAACACAAAAACAATGCGGTATATCAGTGTTTGCCCTGCACCATGCCTATAACAGTGACAGTATAGTATACTAAGAGTACAGTACAATACAGTACATACCATCATCCTCATCCACGCCATCGGGGGTCTGCACAAAGAGGGGCTCTGAGGGGTAGGAGTCCGGCTCCTGCCACACCCAGGTCTCCTTGGTCTTCACGTTCAGCTTGATGATCTACAGCCACACAGAGATTCATCAAAGTCTAACATACACATCTTGGTCTTCACATTCAACTTGATGATATACCACCACATATAGACAGAAACTCATGGCCACTCACGTAACATGCTATGGCCCCTGCCATTCACTACTCAGAGTTTGGAGATTTTGAAGACAGATTTGTGGCAAACAACAAGACTACTCACCCTGTCAGGAATGAAGTGATTGAGGCCCAGGGCGTAGGCATATGTGTAGTTCTTCCCACCGTGCTTCTCATAGTTGATCTGCGGGAACTCAAAGGCTTGGCGGGGCCCAGAGAACAGCACCTCTGGCTCCAGCCAGATGGTCCCGTCAGTACGCATCACTGCTGTGGCTGTGGTGTACGGCAGGCAGATCAGGTTCTTTCCCTGCTCCTCCTGAAACACACAATCAGTATGAGAGAAGGTTTGAATAAGTTAGGGCAGATATACACATTGCTATCCCCAAAAATTATAATACAGGGTAAAACATACGCACTTTATTGTCCAAACATTTTGAAAAAAATTGTAAATTAAAAAAACATATTTTTTTAAAGACAAAGAAATGACTTACCCTGTGGATGTCCAGTGGGATGACGTATCTCCTGACCTCTGGCTGAGGTGCCATCATGGCTGCCTTCTTCACCTCCTCCCAGTTGGAGCGCAGGTTGGCCAGCCAAAGGTAGTTGTACACAAACTCAAACCTACCAGGAAACATAAAGAATGAGTTTCCTGATCCTTTAAACAGACAGTGTTTAAAGACCAAGGGCTAGGAATCATTCATCAATTATTCTGAAAAAGGACATTGCTAAGGCAACTCACTTCAAATGAATGCCACTCCTGAGATCCCTCAGTCCACAATTGATCCAGTCAGTTATGATGTGTCATCACTTTTTATATACGCTTAAATCTGCCACTGTATTGACATTGCCATCTTATGACAGAGACAACGTTTAGCTGTTCCATTACCCTTTCCATGTACACACGTCAGCCACGATGAAGCCATTGTCCTCATAAGTGTTGATGTGATGGAACAGGTTGATGGGAGCGGCTCTGAACTTATGGTCAATGTATTCTCCTTGTCCTCCTCCAATGTCCTTTCTGGCGATGTGGAACAATGTCTGTGAAATGTATGGTAAAAAGGTTATTAGGTTTGACGATAATGTGTGGTATGCTGAAGTCTGTTGTGACAGCACACGTGTGATTTGGTTCTGGGTGTCGAGACTAGGTATGATGTTACCGTACATAATGGTCCTGAATATAAATATGTCACTTTAAACCAAAGTCGACTGAGTGTTTGCCTCCGTACCCCAAGAACCTCATTGGACTCAAAGCAGTCCATGTAGTTGGAGCCTCGGATGCTCCAGGCACTGAGGAACTTCAGCAGGTTGATTTTCACAGGGGTCTCCACAAAGACAAAGTAGTTCTCCGACATGCCAAAGCTAAGGGTGATATGTAGACCATTTAAGTTGGCATGCAATGTAAGTTGTTATATGGCTTAGTCCAATAACACAGAAGGAGGCATGTCCATGATAGACTCCTTGCTGTTTTGGGGACCTCAAGTTTGACTATGAACATGATGGAGATGTTATTATGACCCACCTGTGCACATAGGAGGGCTTGAACCTCTCGGCACTGGGGAACTGCACCACCACCTTGGACTTTTCAATGGGGTCTGACTTGTCTGAGGAGAGAACACAAGATGCAATCAGGGCATAAGCCTTACTATTACAAGTTATCCTATCCAGAACAAGTTAAGGACAAGTTACCTACATGTCCTATCTTAGGAGTTGGAACATGTGCATAAATTCTGAATGAATATCTTATTTTCTTGAATCAATTTGGACACAAGCCCAACCTTTCTGTGTGGGTGGGATTCTGACAACGTTGTAGGCCAGCGATGCTCCTTTCCCCATGCAGTTTCCGATGTTGAACACTGTTCCGTCTTTCTCAATGTGTGGGTGGGCTGTCACTCCATTGATGTTGACGTAGTTGCACAAGTCCACCTGAGGGAAGTGAAGTCATAGTGTTATTCATGTGTTGCTCATTATCATGTTATGCATTAAGCATATGTTATAACTGTTATTGAGAAGTGAGACTTCTGTCTATAATCAGTGGACCAGTATGTAACACTTCTGGTTCTTTTCTGAATTAGGCCAAAGGATATAGACATACACTGTGGTTTCTAGTACAGTATATTGTGAATACTGTAATAAAGGGGGATGGAATTTCAGCCTGGGGGAAAAGAGGAGAGTAATACCTTCTTCAGCGTATCCAGCGTGTCAGTGTTGACTTTAGTGATGTAATTGGTTTCTGTGACGGCGTAGTAATCTTCACCAATGGGGTAAACGTTCACCAGGCAGTTGTCTGTCACCTCAACACCCTTGAAGTAAGTGAAAAACCTGCACAGAGAAACATACACCCACAGACCAGTTTTGAAATTGATCCAAGAGTCATTAAAACGACGATCAGGGCAACAACAGTCAAAATATACACATTGATTGATATGAAGGATCAGTACCTTCAGAAAGTATTCACACCCCTTTACTTATTCCACATTTTGTTGTGTTACAGCCTGAATTGAAAATTAATTAAATTGAGATTTTGTGTCACTGGCCTACACACAATACCCCATAATGTCAAAGTGGAATTATGTTTTTAGACATTTTTACTAATTAATTAAAAATGAAAAGCTGAAATGTCTTGAGTCAATAAGTATTCAACCCCTTTATTTTGGCAAGCCTAAATAAGTTCAGGAGTAAAAATGTGCTGAACAAGTCATATAATACATTGCATGGACTCACTCTGTGTGCAGAAATACTGTTTAACATATCTGTACCCCACAAATACAATTATCTGTAAGGTCCTTCAGTCGAGCAGTGAATTTCAAACACAGATTCAACCACAAAGACCAGGGAGGTTTTCCAATGCCTCGCAAAGAAGGGCACCTATTGGTAGATGGGTCAAAATGAAAAGCAGACTTACACTTTGGATGGTGTATCAATAAAACAGTTACAGAGTTTAATGACTTGAAAGACTTGGAAATGGCTGTCTAGTAATGATAAACAACCAACTTGACAGAGCTTGAAGAATTATTAAAATAATAATGTGCAAATATTGTACAATCCAGGTGTGCAAAGCTCTTAGACACTTAACCAGAAAGACTCACAGCTGTAAACGCTGCCAAATGTGATTCTAACACTCAGGGGTATGAATACTTATGTAAATGAGATATTTCTGTATTTCATTTTCAATAAATTTGCAAACAATTCTAAAAACATGTTTTCACTTTGTCATTATGGGGTATTGTGTGTACATGTGTGGAAAAATATATAAATGTAATATTAATCAATTTTGAACACAAAAAAATTGGAATAAGTCAAGGGGTATGAATACTTTCGGAAGGCACTGTATGGCTAGAAAATATAACCATTTACAGGATATGTTGTAGCTCCTGTAGCTCAGTTGGTAGAGCATGGCGCTTGCAACGCCAGGGTTGTGGGTTCGATTCCCACGGGGGGGCAGTATGGAAAATGTATGCACTCACTAACTGTAAGTCGCTCTGAATAAGAGTGTCTGCTAAATGACTAAAATGTCAAATGTAAAATGTTGCAGGTTGATGTTTATTGGGATGAATATTGTCCTGGAGGCAGGGCTGGGTGATTTCCAGTAGATAGGCCAGCTGCAAAGTCAAAATTGCCTATATATCGTAAAAATTCATGAAAGCAAAAATAAATGTTGGTCTTAATTTAAGGTTAGGGTTAGGCATAAGGTTAGCAGTGTGGTTAAGGTTAGGCTTAGGTTTAAAATCACATTGTATGACTTTGTGGCTGTGCCAACTAGTGACTACCCTACAGATCTGCCTCCAGTACATAAGTAATCCCAATAAATGCCAACCTGCGGCTATGTTACTCATCTAATATAAAGGCAACTAATGAAAAGTGATGACAGATAAAGTAATGATACACCCATATATGATTAGGAGGTTAGCTACCAACCTGGAGAATATGTTTTTGCAGGGATCTGGGTAGGCAAAGGTGCCAAATTCAGTGATCACCACGCGCTTCTCTGTAATGGCACGCACATAGGCATCTGTTTTAATATACCTAAAGGATAAAGGTAGAGATGGATGTCAATTCCATTAGGTTAATTAGACTCAAATGCAATATAACCACTGATCTCTAACTGACATTCTTAATCCATTCTTACTTGTTGAAGTAGGTGACTTGGCCATTCTTGAAGTCAAATTTGTGCATGAGGGCCTGGCCATCGAAGAGGTGGTAGAAAGGCTCATCTCCAACCTCAAACAGGCCAGGGCCCAGACGAAGAAGACTTCCCTTCAGAAATGAAGGAATCCTACCTGTAAATGTGAGAGAAAATACCTTTGTCAAACAATTGATCAATGAACTGTTCAATGTGATTGTATCTAGAGCAGGTAACAGGTCAATTAGGGAATGTTTATCATAGATACAGTACTGTTTTCACATGAATTTCCAAGATAACAGTGTTTTATTTGCAGATGCAGTGTATTTTTCTGTGTTATCATTTTAGGATGGTGTGCAGATTGAATGGACCAGAAATCTACACTATATATACAAAGTATGTGGACAACCCTTTAAATACATGGATTCGGCTATTTCAGCCACACCCGTTGCTGACAGGTGTATAAAATCGAGCACACAGCCATGCAATTACCATAGACAAACATTGGCAGTAGAATGGCCTTACTGAAGAGCTCAGTGACTTTCAAAGTGGCACTGTCATAGGATGACACCTTTCCAACAAGTCAGTTAGTAAAATGTCTGTCCTGCTAGAGCTGCCCCGGTCAACTGTAAGTGCTGTTATTATGAAATGGAAACGTCTAGCAGCAACAACGGCTCAGCCGCGAAGTGGTAGAACACACAAGCTCACAGAACGGGACCACCGAGTGAAGTGCGTAGCTACTTCAACACTCACTACCGAGTTCCAAACTGCCTCTGTAAACAACGTCAGCACAAGAACTGTTCGTCGGGAGCTTCATGAAATGGGTTTCCATGGCAGAGCAGCCGCACACAAGCCTAAGATCAACATGTGCAATGCCAAGCGTCGGCTGGAGTGGTGTAAAGCTCACTGCCATTGGACTCTGGAGCAGTGGAAACGCGTTCTCTGGAGTGATGAATCACACTTCACCATCTGGCAGTCCGGCGGACGAATCTGTGTTTGGCGGATGCCAGGAGAACGCTACCTGCCCAAATGCATGGTGGCAACTGTAAAGTTTGGGGGAGGAGGATTAATGGTCTGGGGCTGTTTTTCATGGTTCGGGCTAGGCCCCTTAGTTCCAGTGAAGGGAAATTCTAGACATTCTAGACTATTCTGTGCTTCCAACTTTGTGGCAACAGTTTGGGGAAGGCCCTTTCCTGTTTCAGCATGATGATGTCCCTGTGCACAAAGCGAGGTCCATACAGAAATGGTTTGTCGAGATCGGTGTGGAAGAACTTGACTGGCCTGCACAGAGCCCTGACTTCAACCCCATCGAACACCATTGGGATGAATTGGAACGCCGACTGCGAGCCAGGCCTATTCACCCAACATCAGTGCCCGACCTCACAAATGTTATTGTGGCTGAATGGAAGCAAGTCCCCTCAGCAATGTTCCAACATCTAGTGGAAAGCCTTCCCAGAAGAGTGGAGGCTGTTATAGCAGCAAAGGGGGGACCAACTCCATATTAATGCTCATGATTTTGGAATTAGATGTTCGATGAGCAGGTGTCCATATACTTTTGGTCATGTAGTGTATCTATTAATTAACATAACCTGCTTCATACGACCACATAAATATGTAGTTAACAAACCTGTGACTGTTGCAGGGACAGGCTCCGATAACTCCTCAACTGTCTCAAATATCTTCTTGTATCCACCAGCAGGGTGCTCAAATCTGTTATCGTGAAAAAATATTAAAGTCACTGAAGCCCAGGGCTCTCCAACCCTGTTCCTGAAGAGCTACCCTCCTGTAGGTTTTCAATCCAACCCCAGTTCTAACTAACCTGGTTCAGGTTATCAACCAGCTAATTATTAGAATCAGGTGCACTAGATTAAGGTTAGAGTGAAAACGTAGAGGAAGGTAGCTCTTCAGGAATAGGGTTGGAGAGCCCCACTGTAACCTATAAAAGGTCAAACCAACCCTGTCCTGAAGCTAGTTTATAGGAAAAGCTTTGCGTAAGGAGGAATTTCTCAAACATAATTCAAAATGCATGCATTCATACATATTTTCTATTTATTGACTAAAGCAACACACATTATTCCAAATAAAATATGGTCTACTTGCTTGAAAAATGTTGACCATTGGTTGACCATTGACAGCGTGAGAGTTCAGACATGAATCCAGACATAAATAAATTAACCATCACTCACCGGCTGACCATGGTTCCTCCTTGTTGTGGGAGCACAGAGATACACACTCACTCACACACAGGTGGCTTCAGATCACTTCTGAACTGGAAGTCTTGGTGCTCCCAGTGGGTTTAGGGTCTTTATACATAGAGCCCCTCTCTCTGTCCCGACCTTGAGTGACTGGAACCTTTCTCCTGACCAATCAGGTTGCACCGTGAGAAAGAATGCCATTGTGCCAATATCCTTAGCTTGGTTGCACAATGGTGGCCCTCTAAAACCGGATTTATTTTGCCTGAATATTTCACAAAATCAGTAGGCCTGTGTTTGTCTGGCAAATGTGTTGCAATAACGTAAGATGTGATTGTTCAATCATTTATATATTTACTAAACTACATTAGCAGAGAGAGCCTATAGGTACACTTCATGGCACTTCACTCAATTAATGTAATTATTTTCTACTTTCCTGTAGACTACATTTTGTAACTGGGATTGATTTACCTTACCCTCCTGCTCAATTGACTATTTGGCAGAACATTAACAATTGTCAAAAGGCACCTATTTCAAATGGGCCTTATACTCTTGACTTGTATATATGCATGTGTGATTCAGAGTTACTGTGTAAATGCTTATCTAGGGTGACTTTTGCTTATTTAAATGTACATTTCTACAGAGTACTGAGTCATACAGTACTTTGTGTACATTGGGGTCTATAAACGTTAAGTCCCCTATGTAGGGGTCTTTGAGCGGTTCTGGACTGGACCAACATTTTTGTGTACAGAGCACTCTGTGAACGACACAACATCAATTGCTGTGCACTCTGTGAAAGCTCTGGTTGTCCCGCTTCACACTCTCCGCTCTCATCTGAAATGCAGTATGTGAAATCCGACACCTTATTTGCATAAGGAGCAACACGTCACATTTTCTGGGTGTCAATGTTGTACTGGGTGTCAATTTTGTTCCCCTTTTTGGCAGTATAAGCATTACTAGTTATTGTTAATGGCCCTCTCATGATAAATAACTGCTTTTGGGTATGTCTACATTTTGACATTACATTTTACTGTTAAGGACTTTGAGGGTCTCAGAACCACTCAAGTGCCATAATCCCTTGCCAAACCTTTTTTAAGAGTATTGGTCAAGTGACATTAGTCATGATTTTAAAGTCGGGAAATGTGTCTAAAAAATACAACAAATGACCATGTTATTGTTTTGCACCACATCAGTAACTAAACACTGTAGAGGTCAAACTGTTTTTGCATACATCTAATCATGTTCATATTAAAATATCGGGTACTATTTTGTGTAGTGTGAATAATGTAATCGATAGCATCATGGCAAACAAACTGTTTTGACAGTTGTTTTGTAACGAACAGAGGTAGCCATCAGAACTTTGTCAGGGGCACACAATTTGCTGTCCTCATATGAGCGGGTTGCTTTTTCCCAGGAGACTAAAGAACAATGTGGTGATTGTCCTCTGCACATGTCCAGAGTAGTAAGCCCCTAGCTACCTGGATTACAGCTGGTTGCTTTTTTAGATAGACACAGGCAACCTCAAACTCGGACCAAAGAACAATAAGCAAGTAGCCTCAATGATGAATAAATTATCATTAGCATCCAATTACATCACTAACAAATTATAAATCACTAAAAGTATAATTCACAGATCAAAGGGGCAGGTTTCAGGGGATAAATTACCTAACATATTTTCACATGGACTACAAGTAAGCATGCATCTATGTAAAAGTATACATTTTTCATCAAACTACATGGTCCCCATAGCTGATCATGAAAATCTCAGGCCTGTCTGCTCTGTGAACAGAGGGACACTCACTCTCGTGTAGATGGATACATAATCCATTGTTACGTTGCTGTGGCAGTTTTGTACCAAACACAAACACTGAACGTCAGAGTGAAGCTTTGGGGGGGAATATAAGGCCTATTGTTGTTGACGGGCATAAAAGGAGAGCTTTGATTTTCTACACTGCATTCCTGCAAAGATTTGTATAAACCATCTAAGTCTCAGTTGACACATGCTAGTGTGCCCATTCTAGTTGAAAACATAGCCAATATCCACATAACACTTGGCAGCCTAATGACTTTCAAGTCAATGACGTCAACAATAAATCCATTGGTTCCCAACACCTCTCACATGAACAGTGATTAGCCCTACTGTAATATTGTAATAAAATCATGAATAAATCCATGTGCTATTATTTCCTACTGATGTAAAGTCCTAACAACAGACCACTAAAACAGTTGAAAATATTTTTATACAATTATTGCTCTTGCTTGTTTGTTTGACTTTTGTGACATAACATATTCAAATAGTCAATGTCTGTTATCAATAATAATAATAATAATATGCCATTTAGCAGACGCTTTTATCCAAAGCGACTTACAGTCATGCGTGCATAATTTTTTTTTGTGTATGGGTGGTCCCGGGGATCGAACCCACTACCTTGGCATTACAAGCGCCGTGCTCTACCAGCTGAGCTACAGAGGACCAATCTTGACTTCCATCTGAACAGGGGGATCAAGATATCTCTTGGCCTTGCACCATCTATTTCAATTTGCCTAGAAATATATTTCACTGTTTATTACATGCCACAGAAATGTGAGAAATTTCACAATTTGATTCCTGGGGGAGAGAGACCTGTACTGGCACACGTTAACACTAATAGTGATGTAAGTTGTTTGAGCCTTATATTTGTAATTTATACTTGTAATAAAAAATAGATATATTAACAAAACACTACTAGCTAGCTCAGGGATGGGCAACTTTGATGGGGGTGGTGGCCCCAAAAAATCTGAACTCATCATGAGGGGCTACAGTTACTCTGCGTACCCTCATTTGCATACCCCCTCACCACCACATTGCGAGCAAAACATTTTAGCAGCCCCCCTCTCAACAGTGAAGAGAACATTTTTTATTTTGTGCAATTCTATACATTTTGCCTTGGGGCTTAGGTAGAGACAATGTTGCAGTTTTAAAGCGACTTTGCTGCAATTCTACTCATTTTGCCATGGGGCGGAGAGGAACCTGTGCTGTTTAACAACTAAGTTCCTGCAATTCTACACATTTTTCCATAGGGTAGAGAGAAATGTTTGCAGCTTTTAATATGATATCTGAGTGAGACTGACTAACAAAATCAGCTGGCTGCTGAACTAATTTAAAAATCTAAAAAACAGGGACAATTTGAGAGGAGGGACAATTTGAGAGGAGGCGTTCTAGTGAATGTACAAAGATTGCAAGCAACAAGGGGTGGAGATAGGGTAGATAGCACGTCTATTCTGTTACATTTCAAGGACCGGGTACTGCCAAATAAGGTAACAATAGGATATATGAGTTATTATGTGAGAGCTTATGTACCGAAGCCTTTAAGATGTTATAAATGCCATAGGTTTGGGCATGTGCCAACAGTCTGTAAAGAGAAAAAGAGGTGTGCCAGGTGTGGAGGGGAGCATGAGTATGGGAAGTGTGGAGATGGTGTACAACCAAAGTGCTGCAACTGTGGGGGTGCTCATAGTGTGGCATATAGTGGGTGTGAGGCTATGAAGAAGGCAGTAGAGGTGCAACAAGTAAGAGTGGAGAGAAGGGTGTCATATGCTGAGGCAGTGAGGGTGGTCCAGGAGAGAAGGGTGTCATATGCTGAGGCAGTGAGGGTGGTCCAGGTCCAGGGAGATACAGGTTCAAGGGAGAGATGGGTAGGAGCTTCTAGAACTGGGATTACGGGGCAGGTGGGAAGCGATATGGTATACATAGAAAAGAGAAAGCTGGTGACGTTCATAGCAGGAGCTATCAATAGCACTGTTAAAGTACAGTCTAAAACGGAGAGGATTAAACTAATAGTGAAAGATGCTGGGAGATATTTTTGTCAGATGTTACTATGGTATACTGAAGTATAATTACAAGCATTCCATAAGTGTCAAAGGCTTTTATTGATAATTACATTAAGTATATGCAAAGAATCAATATTTGCAGTGTTGACTCTTCTTTTTCAAGACCTCTGCAATCCGCCCTGGCATGCTGTCAATTAACTTCTGGGCCACATCCTGACTGATGGCAGCCCATTCTTACATAATCAATGCTTGGAGTTTGTCAGAATTTGTGGGGTTTTGTTTGTCCACCCGCCTCTTGAGGATCGACCACAATTTCTCAATGGGATTAAGGTCTGGGGAGTTTCCTGGCCATGGACCCAAAATGTTGATGTTTTGTTCCCGAGCCACTTAGTTATCACTTTTGCCTTATGGCAAGGTGCTCCATCATGCTGGAAAAGGCATTGGTCGTCACCAAACTGTTCTTGGATGGCTGGGAGAAGTTGCTCTCGGAGGATGTGTTGGTACCATTCTTTATTCATGGCTGTGTTCTTAGGCAAAATTGTGAGTGAGCCCACTCCCTTGGCTGAGAAGCAACCCCACACATGAATGGTCTCAGGATGCTTTGCTGTTGGCATGACACAGGACTGATGGTAGCGCTCACCTTGTCTTCTCCGGACAAGGTATTTTCCGGATGCCCCAAACAATCGGAAAGGGGATTCATCAGAGAAAATGACTTTACCCCAGTCCTCAGCAGTCCAATCCCTGTACCTTTTGCAGAATATCAGTCTGTCCCTGATGTTTTTCCTGGAGAGAAGTGGCTTCTTTGCTGCCCTTCTTGACACCAGGCCATCCTCTAAAAGTATTCGCCTCACTGTGCGTGCAGATGCACTCACACCTGCCTGCTGCCATTCCTGAGCAAGCTCTGCACTGGTGGTGCCCTGATCCCGCAGCTGAATCAACTTTAGGAGATGGTCCTGGCGCTTGCTGGACTTTCTTGGGTGCCCTGACGCCTTCTACACAACAATTGAACCTCTCTCCTTGAAGTTCTTGATGATCCGATAAATGTTTGATTTCGGTGCAATCTTACTAGCAGCAATATCCTTGCCTGTGAAACCTTTTTGTGCAAAGCAATGATGACGGCATGTTTTCCTTGCAGGTAACCATGGTTAACAGAGGAAGAACAATGATTTCAAGCACCACCCTCCTTTTAAAGCTTCCAGTCTGTTATTCTAACTCAATCAGCATGACAGAGTGATCTCCAGCCTTGTCCTCGTCAACACTCTCACCTGTGTTAACGAGAGAATCACTGACATGATGGCAGCTGGTCCTTTTGTGGCAGGGCTGAAATGCAGTGGAAATGTTTTTTGGGGATTAAGTTCATTTTAATGGCAAAGAGGGACTTTGCAATTAATTGCAATTCATCTGATCACTCTTCATGACATTCTGGAGTATATGCAAATTGCCATCATCAAAACTGAGGCAGCAGACTTTGTGAAAATTAGTATTTGTGTCATTCTCAATACTTTTGACCATGACTGTAAATTATGCGTTGAGTGCACCATTTACCAGGGCAGAGGTGAAAAGAGCAAATAGGTAAGGGTGGGTTAACTTCACCTGGGAAAGTAGAGGTGTGCTATGTTATGTTGGCCTATCTTAGTGATGAGGCACTGGATAAAGTATTGGTGTTGTACAACAGAGTGTGGGAGGAGGGGAAACTACCAGGTAGTTGGAAGGAGGCAGTAGTGGTACCAATCCGAAAGCCCGGGAATGATCCAACGAAGCCAACAAGCTATCGGCCAATAGCTTTAACATCACATGTATGTAAGATTATGGAACGTATGATCATGGAGCGGCTAACTTACTTCCTGGAGAGCAGAGGGCTAGTAACGCCACATCAGAGTGGGTTCAGGAAGGGTAGGGGAACTATGGATCCAGTGCTCTGCTTAGAAGCAGAGGTCAGGAAGGCTCAGGTGAACAAGTAGACTGTTGTAGCTGTCTTTTTTTGATGTGGAGAAGGCGTATGATATGATGTGGAAGGAGCGGTTGTTAATCAAGCTTGATATTATGGGGGTAGGAGGATGAATGTACAACTGGATAAAGGATTTCCTGTTTGGAAGGTCTATCCAGGTGAGGGTGGGGAAGTCTTTATCAGGCAGCTACTTGGTGGATAATGGTACACCGCAGGGGAGCGTGATTAGTCCTCTGTTGTTTTCAATCATGATCAATGATGTTTACTCTCAGGTACAGCCGGATATAGGGAGGTCGTTATTTGCAGATGATGGAGCCTTATGGAAGAGGGGAAGAAATGTGCCATACATAGTCAGGAAGGTACAGAAAGCAATTGATGAGGTAGAGCGGTGGGCATTAATGTGGGGATTCAGGTTCTCTGTAGAGAAAACTCAAACAGTGTTCTTTACCAGGAGGAAGGTGGGAGATTAGGTATGCTTGAGGTTATATGGGAGAAACTTGGAGAGGGTGGGGGCCTTCAGGTTCCTTGGGGTGTACTTTGATACTAGACTGACCTGGGCAGAACACATTGAGAGAGTGGTGGGAAAGTGTAAGAAGGTGCTAAATGTGATGCGCTGTCTGAAGGAGTGGGGGGCTGGGCATTCCTCAATGAAGACCATGTATGTTGCATTGATCCGATCTGTAATAGACTATCGACGTATAGCATATGGTTCGGCAGCCCGGACCACACTGGAAAGGCTAGATGTCGGACGTCTCCAGTGGCTGCATTACAGGTAGAGATGGGGGATATGCCGTTGGAGATTAGGAGACAGCAGCTGGCAATGAATTACTGGGTCAACCTACAAGGACATGGGGTGTCTCATCCTGCGAAAGGGGTTTTACAGGCAGGCTGGGAACATGAACAACACTCTCACCTGTGTTCATGAGCGAAGACCGAACACAAGCTTTAGGTGGGTGGGTAATACCCAGGCGAAGGAGATGAGACTATATGGAAGGGAGTTTAGTCCAACGGTAGTTATTCCTGTAAATCCACCATGGCTACTCTCGTCTCCAGTAGTTGATCTAGAAGTGTTGGAGAGACTACAGAAAGATAGGGAGGGAGTTGATCAAGAAGAAATGAGGTTATTTTTACAAGATTAAGGGTGGGACACAGCCAGTTGAATAAGACATTAAACGTGATAGGAGAGCATCCATCAGGAAAGTGTGATTATTGTCAGGAAATAGACTGTGGAGCATGTATTGCTACAGTGTGGGCAGTATCAGAGGGAAAACGAGAGGATGAGATTTAGTATGAGGGAGAAGGGGATACAGGAAATTAGTTGAAAGAGTATATTGAGTAGAGCGTCATTAGATATAGTCTCAAATATTTTGTTATATTTTTTAAGAGAAACGGGGTTGGCAGGTAGGATTTAGTTTATCCCTGCCTCTGGCCCACACTCCAGTACGGTAGGTGGCGGTAATGCACCATAACGTTGGATGCCAACCGCTGATAACCCCCCACTGCAGAAGAAGAAGAAGACTGCAGGATTTTCACAGTGCGCATGCCGCTTTTTATGTGTATTCACGCTTACAACATGGCGACGAAACGCATTGGGATGACCGTTTGAGTTTATAAAACGCCTTTGACTACGATTGCAACGAAGTATATTTTTTTTTAAATCATTCTCAAATCGAGGGGTAATTGTTTATATATTTGTTTTTTAAATTGTATTGTGAAAAAATGAATTGTACCACGAACGTAGTGCAAGTGACGAACGTGTCGCCAAGCACAACATCCGAGCAGATGCGAATGCTGTTCGGGTTTCTTGGAACCATTGAAGAACTCAAATTGTTTCCACCAGAGTAAGTAACTCATATTTGTTATTTGTTGAACAGTTGTCGCAAATTAGACATCGTTATTGTTTATTTGACCATTCATTTCCTACCAATTTGTGATTTAGTTGATTTCAATGTAGTTAGTAGTATTATTAACTTTAATTTAGCTAACGCTTGCTAACGTTAGCATCGGAGGCCCCAGCTGGCCATCCCCAAAACCTTAGACGAAACATTAGCTAGGTAGCATAATATGTTGCTTAGTTAACTACTTCAGGGATGTTTTGTTGGATACAGTCTACTACTATGTTGTTGCTATCTAACTAACTTACAAACTAACTTATTGCAGTGAATCGCCTCTGCCAGTTACGTCGCGTGTGTGTTTTGTGAAGTTCCAAGAGTCCGAGTCCGTGGGGGTGTCTCAGCATCTGACCAACACAGTCTTCGTGGACAGAGCGCTGATCGTCGTCCCTTTTGCCGAAGGTTGGTGCTTTGTTCTCCCCTCTTCTGTATGAATGATCCTTGATTGTATGACGAAGTTATGGGAGTGTGACGCACCCATTGATTTCAGGATGGAGTTCTATGATCATGTGGTTTGAGATACTATTTAAGCATGTGCCCTAGCTATTTCAGATCCTAGTATCCATTCTCGATCTGACAAGCCTATCTGATTCTGTGATAAATGATGCCATGCCACTCTGCCAGTGTCTTGTCTTGTACAATCCCCTAGAGATGTCTATATCAGATCTCTCAACCCAGACCCTTGGTATACTGTGGAATTAAATACCATTTACATTTTACATTTTAGTCATTTAGCAGACGCTCTTATCCAGAGCGACTTACAGTTAGTGAATACATATATATATTTTTTTATACTGGCCCCCCGTGGGAATCGAACCCACAACCCTGGCGTTGCAAACGCCATGCTCTATCAACTGAGCTACATCCCTGCCGGCCATTCCCAAAGCTACTGCCACACTGTAAGGTCATAATGCCACCCATGCATGATGCATTGGAGTTGATAGACACTAAACAACACAGACAACTTTGAGTCTGAAGTGGTCCCCCCCCCCCCCCGCTTCACCAGTAAGCACAGTGTACCAAGATCTGCTAAAGGGACCGGCACGTGCTTCGACTGAGGGAGCTGATCAAGCTCAGACCATGCACGAGCAGACAAAAAGAAAGCAGAGAGGAACTGACATGTATATGAAAACTTAACCATGCTTTTTATTTTCTCCCCCATATTGGACTATCCTCTATTAAACTTGTCTCTGTTATTTGTGTGTGTGATTTGTTGTAGTGGAGAAGGCAAAAGCAGAGCCCCCTCCTTGATGGCTGAAAGTGGTCCTCTGCCTGCCAACAGGGGATTGTAGACAATTACAAAAGGCCAGCAAGCGTTCAAGCAGCCCCCCCAACCCCTTCTCTTTCTCTTTTTTCTGTGTCGTTTCTTTCTTTCTCTCTCATTTTCTATTCTCTATGTATTTGAGTTTAAGTGGATTGCAGTAGTTTAGATATTACCATAAGGCATATCACATGTATAACACGTTATTTGACTACTCACAAGTCTATTTATCAAAATAGGTATTTTAATAATCTGACCTGTGTAACATCCAATCTGGTTTTCTCATTGGATCCAAATGGTAAGAAAAAAAACATAGCAGAGTCACTGAACAGTGAACAATGCACATATGTCTCAATGACACAGCTATTGCTACACCTGCATTTCATACTTTTTTCACCTTTAGCGTTAAGGCACTTCCTGGTTTTGGGAGTTGGGTGAACCCTTGTCACAATATACTATCCAATTTTAATTTAGCTAAAAATTAGATGCACTCACTCAACATTCGCTGTCCCTCAAATTGGCAGATTCAAATAGCTAGGCTGTGTTTTCTATGTTGACCAGTGATACTGTACTTTAAGGTTGCTGACTATCTAGTTGTCATTAATTGTTTTAGATATCCACCCACATGTCAATGGCAATTGGTTCAGTGCTCTCTCTTTAACAGTGGTCTTTCTTTTTTGTTGTTGTGTTTTACAGTTCTTTTTCCTGGCTCAGCCAGTCCTGTAAACCAGGCCCCGCTGAAAATACCACCCAACCGTTTTGTCTCCTGCAGCTAAATTCTCTCTCCTATGTGCCCTTTTAAAATGTTTTTTTTTGTATGTGTGTCTGTCTGGGTGTGTGTATGTTTGTGCGTCTTCTGTAAAAAAGACAATTGTTTCTTTTTTTCATTGCATCTTGATTAAGATATTTGTATGTTTCCTTTTTTAGGTAGCAATGGCAACATTGAGAATTGAAACCATTACATTGTTTGCCCTATATTAGTCAAACAGACATTAAAAAAACAACAAGCTAATCTAATGTTGCCAAGTTGATTATTAAACTAAATCAAAAAGCATTGGTAAATTTTTTGCAGATTTGATGCGGTGACAAGTAAGGTTCTTGGGAGCGTAGATATCACCTACCTAGAATTTGATTGCTAGCTAGTTTATTATTTTCTACGTGTTGCTGGTAAGTAGTAGAAACTGTGACTGTACAGTATTTACTGTTGACCTCCGACTCTATGAAATTATTTTTGTTTTGTGTATCTCGATTTTTTTTTTTCTCTGTGTGCTCCTTAGTAGTGAAGCCGCCAACGTGAGTCGCTTGTTCAATCTATATGAAAATTGAGAGCACACCCCACTGGAGAAGCCGCTGTGCTAGCTAACGTTTGGTTCATGACTTAAAATACACGTTCAGGTGATACAATCTTGGCAGTGTTCACTGGAGTAGTGTGTATTGTGATATACTTTTTTCTCCAACCTTAGTTATTCTTCTATCTACAATGATTAAAAGAATAAAGGGAACAAACCTTCTCAAATCTAGCAGCTATCAAAGGTAACAGTATTGAAACCTGTACAAATGTTTGTTTGAAGTATACTTGAGCAAGTCATCTTTTTGTTTTTCAAAATGTCTCTCCTCTTTAGTAGATTCTAGACGTAGACGTTCTCTTCTTCCCCTAATGCCTTTTTTGTTTTTCTGTAGGCGTTATCCCAGAGGAGGCTAAAGCTTTGTCACTGCTGGCGCCAGCAAATGCTGTTGCAGGGATTATGTCCGGAGGAGGTCTCCTTCCAACACCTAACCCCATGTCCAATCCACAGGTAGGACTTCTCCCAACACCAAACCCCATGTCCTATACACAGGTAGGTCCTCAGCATAGATATACAATATTTTATTGTTACATTTAATTCTGTGGTCCTTCATTGTCTTACGTCAGATAGCGCAACAATTCTGCCTGCACTGATCTGTCTCGTATCTTGCAATGGGTATGGGATAGATCAAAAGTAGTTTGGCTACAATGTGCTGTCTAACATTTGAAAATATTACCTAGGTAACATAGTCTGCTGAATCACATTTCTGCCTCAAAACTGTCTGTTTTAATCTACGCTAAAACAATACATCGGTCAATAATGTTGAAGTTTCTTTGGTGAGGAAGTTCTAGTCACTCCATTTTACATTTAGCTATGGATTTTTGTGCTTCAATGAGTGGTGTTCCTGAAGTTTGACAATGGGCACAAAAGCTAGCATAAATTTGACCGATATTACTGAAGTCACTGAAACGATGCTGCTAACCAGCAAGCTACCTACTTAGTCCTGCATACACAATGTTGAATGCTTCAAACAAAAGCTAGCTTGCAAACAACTTTAGTAGTGCTAATTTTAACATCATTTAAAAATGTTGTGACCAAATTTGTATTTATTTTGTCTATTTTTTCGGTGGGGGGTAGTGGGGTTTACAGATACTAACATTATTATGAGTTTTCATGAAGCAGCTGTTCTGCCGCGAGTCATTGCAGTAGCCTCCCGAGGCAGCTGCTGTAATCAGCTGAGCCAATTATACAAGTTACACATTAGAGATTGCTGAGAAATATGCTGATTTACGGACTGATTTCTGATAACGGTTCCTCCTAATTTTGAGGCTGCATGTCTACAACTTCAGGGCAATTTAACCAGAATAAGCAAGCTTTTAATGTCAGTAAAGGTAGAGCTAGCTAGCTATGTCAGTAAGCTAGCTACAACAGTTACAGTTGGGAGAACACGTATTTGATACACTGCCGATTTTGCAGGTTTTCCTACTTACAAAGCATGTAGAGGTCTGTAATTTTTATCATAGGTACACTTCAACTGTGAGAGACGGAATCTAAAACAAAAATCCAGAAAATCACATTGTATGATTTTTAAGTAATTAATTTGCATTTTATTGCATGACAAGTATTTGATCACCTACCAACCAGTAAGAATTCCGGCTCTCACAGACCTGTTAGTTTTTCTTTAAGAAGCCCTCCTGTTCTCCACTCATTACCTGTATTAACTGCACCTGTTTGAACTCGTTACCTGTATAAAAGACACCTGTCCACACACTCAATCAAACAGACTCCAACCTCTCCACAATGGCCAAGACCAGAGAGCTGTGTAAGGACATCAGGGATAAAATTGTAGACCTGCACAAGGCTGGGATGGGCTACAGGACAATAGGCAAGCAGCTTGGTGAGAAGGCAACAACTGTTGGCGCAATTATTAGAAAATGGAAGAAGTTCAAGATGACGGTCAATCACCCTCGGTCTGGGGCTCCATGCAGGATCTCACCTCGTGGGGCATCAATGATCATGAGGAAGGTGAGGGATCAGCCCAGAACTACACAGCAGGACCTGGTCAATGACCTGAAGAGAGCTGGGACCACAGTCTCAAAGAAAACCATTAGTAACACACTACGCCGTCATGGATTAAAATCCTGCAGCGCACGCAAGGTCCCCCTGCTCAAGCCAGCGCATGTCCAGGCCCGTCTGAAGTTTGCCAATGACCATCTGGATGATCCAGAGGAGGAATGGGAGAAGGTCATGTGGTCTGATGAGACAAAAATAGTGCTTTTTGGTCTAAACTCCACTCGCCGTGTTTGGAGGAAGAGTACAACCCCAAGAACACCATCCCAACCGTGAAGCATGGAGGTGGAAACGTCATTCTTTGGGGATGCTTTTCTGCAAAGGGGACAGGACGACTGCACCATATTGAGGGGAGGATGGATGGGGCCAAGTATTGCGAGATCTTGGCCAACAACCTCCTTCCCTCAGTAAGAGCATTGAAGATGGGTCGTGGCTGGGTCTTCCAGCATGACAACGACCCGAAACACACAGCCAGGGCAACTAAGGAGTGGCTCCGTAAATAGCATCTCAAGGTCCTGGAGTGGCCTAGCCAGTCTCCAGACCTGAACCCAATAGAAAATCTTTGGAGGGAGCTGAAAGTCCGTATTGCCCAGCGACAGCCCCGAAACCTGAAGAATCTGGAGAAGGTCTGTATGGAGGAGTGGGCCAAAATCCCTGCTGCAGTGTGTGCAAACCTGGTCAAGACCTACAGGAAACGTATGATCTCTGTAATTGCAAACAAATGTTTCTGTACCAAATATTAAGTTCTGCTTTTCTGATGTATGAAATACTTATGTCATGCAATAAAATGCAAATTAATTACTTAATCATACAATGTGATTTTCTGGATTAAAAATTACAGACCTCTACATGCTTTGTAAGTAGGAAAACCTGCAAAATCGGCAGTGTATCAAATACTTGTTCTCCCAACTGTAGCTAAGCTGCTGATCAATTCACTGCACTGGCGACCAACGTCCTTGCACATTATTTGTGCACGAGATAGCCACAGTTTTATTTATTTTCTCACAATTGCAAACCAATAAATTACTGTCACAACATTTAAAAAACAATTTAGGTAGTTATTCTGCCTATTTCATGGATACAAGAGCGCAGTGATATAAACAATTAGGAACTATGTTTTTATTGTTGAATGGTGGATGCTCTGTAATATTCATATTTACATATGAGTTCCACTACCTACAAGACAGATTGTTTAAGGGACGAGCGTTGCGTTGGATTGACGCCATCTGACATAAGACAATGTTGGTTCTTAGGTTAATGAAATGAAACATCCGTCTTAATGCCCTGATAATAGTCGGCTCTCACATGAACACAGGCATATACATGACCACGGGTATATATAGGTATATATTTTTAACGTGTACATCAGGGTTCCCCAACTGGCGGCCCGCCGGCCGAATTTGGCCCATGGTTCGTTTTATTTGTCTCCCCAAGTTTTCTGAGCAAAATAAATTAGTTTTTATTTTACATTTTTGTTGTTGGCCATAAGACTGTAAAAACATCAGGAAATCAGCTCCAATTGATTTTAATTTTGGAAATCTGTTCCCAAGTATTCCCATGCATAATAAAGAGATGTGACCATCCGCTCAAGAAAAATGTAGTTGATGATCCCTGGTGTACATGATACTGCAACAAATTTTCCCCACGGGGACAATGGTCTGTAAAATAGAGTAATAGACAATGAAAGGGTTAATGATGTGTCGCTTTTTAGATGGGAGGCAATCCTTTCGGTGGTCCCACCATGGATGCGATGGCAGCGTTCGGGTTTTCAAACCCCAATATGAATATGAATATGAATCCCCAGGTGAGTGTTTGCTTGCAACCTGGAGATACACTATATGCCAAAAGTATGTGGACACCTGCTCGTCGAACATCTCATTCCAAGATCATGTGCATTAATATGGGGTTGGTCCCCCCTTTGCTGCTGTAACAGCCTCCACTCTTCTGGGAAGGCTTTCCACTAGATGTTGGAACATTGCTGTGGGGACTTGCTTCCATTCAGCCGCAAGAGCATTATTGAGGTCGGGCACTGATGTTGGGCGATTAGGCCTGGCTCGCAGTCGGCGTTCCAATTAATCCCAAAGGTGTTTGAAGGGGTTGAGGTCAGGGCTCTGTGCAGGCCAGTCAAGTTCTTCCACACCAGTCTCAACAAACCATTTCTGTATGGACCTCACTTTGTGCACGGGGGCATTGCCATGCTGAAACAGGAAAGGGCCTTCCCCAAACTGTTGCCACAAAGTTGGAAGCACAGACTCGTCTACATTGTCATTGTATGCTGTAGCGTTAAGATTTCCCTTCACTGGAACTAAGGGACCTAGCCCGAATCATAAAAAACGACACCAGACTATTATTCCTCGTCCACCAAACATTGCAGTTGGCACTATGCATTCGGGCAGGTAGCGTTCTCCTGGCATCCGCCAAACTCAGATTCGTCTGTCGGACTGCCAGATGGTGAAGCGTGATTCATCACTCCAGCGAACGCGTTTCCACTGCTCCAGAGTCCAATGGCTGCAAGATTTACACCACTCCAACCGATGCTTGGCATTGCGCATGGTGATTTTAGGCTTGTGTGCGGCTGCTCGGCCATGGAAACACATTTCATGAAGCTCCCGGCGAACAGTTATTGTGCTGACGTTGCTTCCAGAGGCAATTTGGAACTTGGTAGTGAGTGTTGCAACCGAGGACAGACGATTTTTACGCGCTACAAGCTTCAGCACTCAGTGGTCCCATTCTGTGAACTTGTGTGGCCTACCACTTCGTGGCTGAGCCGTTGTTGCTCCTAGACGTTTCCACTTCACAATAACAGCACTTACAGTTGACCGGGGCAGCTCTAGCAGGGCAGAAATGTGTTGTAGGTGGCATCCTATGACGGTGCCACGTTGAAAGGAACTGAGCTCTTCAGAAAGGCCATTCTACTGCCAATGTTTGTCTATGGAAATTGCATGGCTGTGTGCTCGATGTTATACACCTTTTCAGCAACGGTTGTGGCTGAAATAGCCAAATCCACTAATATGAAGGGGTGTCCATATACTTTTGTATATCTAGTGTAGTTCTGTGTGCACACACAAATGCTGGTGTTAAAGGGAAATGTTGAAATTGTATTATATTTCTAACTTGTATATTATATATTTTACACTTCTTCCCCAGTCTTTTCCCACTGAGCAGCTTCTGAAGTTTATGACTCAGGTGGATCCAAAGTAAGTCATCATGTCTCTAGAAATTCCCATTTTAAGACATCAAACAAGCTCACCTCCAGTAACACCTATGAGCATTCATTTGTTGGATTGCACTCCAGTGTGTTCTAATTAAGCAATGAGGCTTGAGGAGGTGTGGTATATGGCCAATATACCACATCTAAGGGATGTTCTTATGCACGATGCAATGCAGAGTGTCTGGATACAGCCCTTAGCCGTGGTATATTGGCCATATACCACAAACCCGAGGTGCCTATTATAAACTAGTTGCGAATGTAATTAGACCAGTAAATAGTACTTTTTTGTCATACCCATTGTATACGGTCTGATATACCACGGCTTTCAGCTAGTCAGCATTCAGGGCTCGAACAACCCGGTTTATAATGGCCAGAACAGCCCTTAACCGTGGTATATTAGCCATATACCACAAACCCCAGAGGTACCTTATTGCTATTATAAACCGGTTACTAATGTAAATGTAACAGTAAACGAGTAGTTTTGCGTCATACCCGTGGTATATTTTCTGATACACACACGACTGGAATGCTGTGGTTGTTTCAGCCACTCAGCATCCAGGACCCAAACTACCCGGTTTATAATCACCAATAAATAATGTCCTCTTCTTCAGAATGAACCACATGGGTGTAGGGATGAACATGAATCCGGGCCTAAAGACAGACTCCTCCAACAAAGAGATAGAAGTGGCCATGAAGAGGGTCAGAGAGGCCCAGTCCCTAATCTCTGCTGCCATCGAGCCTGGCAGTGAGTAGCGAAAGCATTGCATCTCCAAAACATATATTACATCTCAGATAAATTACTGTTAGCCCTAGCTAAAAGCTATTATTTGCTGTACCAAAGTAATTTTAACGTTTTGTTTATGCAGACAAGGAGAGCAAGAGGAAGCACTCGCGTTCCAGGTCCAGGTCCAGACGCAGAAGGTCCCGCTCTCGCTCCAGACACAGGTGAACACAAACTCTATTCTCCAGACAGAAATCATTTGGATTGTGTTAAAAATAAAGTAAAGATAGGAGATTTTTTTAAATTCATATTGAGGGTAGAGATTGATGTCGTGTCTGTGTGATCTGCAGGCGTTCAAAGAGCAGGTCTAAGCGACGCTCGCACTCCAGGAGCAGGAGACGCTCCAAGAGCCCCCGAAGGAGGAGTGGGAGGTCCCACTCCAAAGACAGGAGCAGACCGTCACCAAGCAAATCCAGGTGAGCCACAGAGCACAGACTTGACCCATTCTTAATCCTCAAGCTGCACACTGATAACTTCCAAGACAGCCCTGAGGTTTTTTAATTTTATTTCACCTTTATTTAACCAGGTAAGCCAGTTGAGAACAAGTTCTCATTTACAACTGCGACCTGGCCAAGATAAAGCAAAGCAGTGCGATTAAAAACAACAACACAGTGTTACATATGGGGTAAACAAAACAAAGTCAAAAATACAACATAAATTATATATATACAGTGTATGTGAATGTAGTAAGTTATGGAGGTAAGGCAATAAATAGGCCATAGTGCAAAATAGTTACCATTTCGTATTAACACTGGAATGATAGATGTGCAAATAGAGATACTGGGGTGCAAATTAGCAAAATAAATAACAATATGGGGATGAAGTAGTTGGGGCTAATTTCAGAATGGCTGTGTACAGGTGCAGTGATCGGTAAGCTGCTCTGACAACTGACGCTTAAAGTTAGTGAGGAAGATAAGAGTCTGCACCTGTAGGAAGCCGATTCTAGATCTAACTTTTGATTGGAGATGCTTAATGTGAGTCTGTAAGGAGAGTTTACAGTCTAACCAGACACCTATGTATTTGTAGTTGTCCACATACTCTAGGTCAGACCCGCCAAGAGTAGTGATTCTAGTCGGGTGGGCGGGTGCAAGCAGAGTTCGGTTGAAGAGCATGCATTTAGTTTTACTAGTGTTTAAGAGCAGTTGGAGGCTACGGAAGGAGTGTTGTATGGCATTGAAGCTCGTTTGGAGGTTTGTTAACACAGTGTCCAATGAAGGGCCAGATGTATACAAAATGGTGTCGTCCGCATAGAGGTGGATCCGAGCATCACCAGCAGTAAGAGCGACATCATTGATATACACCGAGAGTCGGCCCGAGAATTGAACCCTGTGGCACCCCCATAGAGACTGCCAGAGGTCCAGAAAACAGGCCCTCCGATTTGACACATTGAACTCTATCTGAGAAGTAGTTGGTGAACCAGGCGAGGCAGTCATTTGACAAACCAAGGCTATTTACTGCCAATAAGAATGCGGTGGTTGAGAGGTTACTGTCTACCTCCTAACCACAACTCTAATCCTATATATATATATATATATATATATATATATATACACACACACACACACACACACACACACACACACACACACACACACACACACACAAAATACCAAATATTGATCAGATGTAACTAACTTGTGTCTCTGATCCACAGAGATAGGAAGAAAGAGGAGCGGGATAAAAAACGCTCTAAAACCCCTCCGAAAAGCTACAGTACTACCAGGAGGTCCCGCAGTATAGATCGGTGAGTGCAGCTTGTTTGGTCAGAGCCACACGTCTGACTTGTCTGTTTCTCCATGCTGCCCAGATATTTACTACTTGTAACATATAATTTTTTCATTCTGTTGCTGTTGAGGACAGAAGGCGGAGGAAGAGTCGCAGCGCCAGCCGATCTCCTAAGAAATCCCCCAAGAGGAAAGTCTCCAGGACTCCCTCTCCTAGAAGGTGGGTGTTTTGGCCTATGGTCTTGTTATTGCCATTTATATTATTGATTGCTTCTCATAGAATGAAGATCATTTCCTAAGTGGACATGTTTTCGATATGATGCCAGTGGTATTGGTGGCTATTTTGAGAGTGTGAATGAGACAAAATCTTCTAGACATTTTGTTTACAGTGTGAGTGCCCTCAAATCATGCACTCAATTTATTTAGATTCAAATGTCAAGGTTTCTTGAAAGTGACCTGAAAATAAACCATTTTTAGACTGTCAACACACATCTTTAGATTTGGAGACTTTGTTTCATACGCTTTAACCTCTCCTCCCTACAGACATAAGAAGGAGAAGAAGAGGGACAAGGAAAGAGAGAATGACCGGGATCGTGAGCGCAGGGGCGATAAAGACCGCAGTCGGGAGGAACGGAAGGAAAAGAAAGAAAGGAGTAAAGATAAGGAACGGGAACGGGAAAAGAAAACTGATGGAGAGAAAGGCGACGTGAAGGTAAGCAGCAATGACTGAAACTATTTGTCTTATGTTATATAAGTTATGTAAGATGTGTAGGATGTCCACGCTTATTCTTCCTTCCGGCTTTTGACCCCAGAGATCTAGTGTTACTCGCATTATTTAAATGAAAAACAAGTAATATGAAATGAGTTTCAGAAATATCAAACTTAATCATTTCAAATGTCCTAGACATCTTTGCAGGTCACCAGAGACTATGATGAGGAAGAGCAGGGCTACGACAGTGAGAAGGAGAGGGAGAGGCTGGACAAGAAGGATTCCGACCAGGACTCCGGAGCCCAGTCTCCTCACTCGGTGGAAGGCAATGGCACTGGGACTCCCAAAGTCAATGGTGACGACCACCGCGAAGAGGATGACATGGATGTCAGTGATTGAGTCACCCAATTATAGAGACGGGTGCATAGATCTCTATGTACCCACCCTCCATTGTACCCAACCCTCCATGCCCCACTGACCTTACTGTATACAGGCTTCAATCAACTCAACTCCATCCCTCTTTATCACAGTTGAATTGTTAGCTTCCTTTTGGACTGACTAGACAAAATAGATCAATTAGAAGATTAACTGAAAATATGAACCTTAAGATTTTTCACAGTTTTGTCCATTTTCTGTTTGTACGGTGTGTGTGTACATGATTCATTATTTTGTCCTATTTCGGTGGTGAAAATGTGAAAAGGTGTGGTTGATTGAAAGGTTTATTTCTGTAATTTTAAAAGTGGATACTCTGGCAAGTGTGCAACTCGTGATTTTTATTCTTTGATTTTTTTTGTTGCTTAAATTATGATAATTGCATTTGTGTATCTTACTTTTGTGTTTTATCTAGTTTCTACACATTGCTGGGAGCAGAAGCAGCCAGTTGCACTGCTTAACAAATTCACTGTATGTCCATTTCATCAGACATGGCTGCTAGATGGAGCAGTTTGCTGTGGACTTAGATTTTCATTCTTGAGCTTCTTTCTGTATTGTCACCGCAATAATTCACCATTTACTATTTTCTGTCACTCCTGTATGTGGTATATGGTGTTCATATCCCATCCGTTATGATACGGAAGATGTATAGTGAGTCTTGTGGTGCTATAATAACCACTCCTTATAGCTCACCTACTCGCAATACCAATTAGATCTAATGCTTGTTGTTATTCTTATAAGTTTGTATTGTGTTTTATTAGTGATTCTTTTATATACAATAAAAACCTATCTGGGTAAAGATTTCAGATTTATTTTGTTTTTAACATCAGGTGCTCTGTCCATTTAAGGTTTAGGACAAAGTTTAACGTACCCTTGTAGTGCATTCGGAAAGTACTCTTCGGAAAAAAACTCTTAACTATACACAATATCCTATATTGACAAAGTGAAAACAGTTTTTTTTTAGAAAATGTATAAAAAATATAAAACAGAAATACCTTTACATAAGTATTCAGACCCTTTGCTATGAGACACGAAATTGAGCTCAGGTGCATTCTTTCCATTGATCATCCTTGAGATGTTTCTACAACTTGATTGGAGTTCACCTGTGGTAAATTCAATTGATGGGACATGATTTGGAAAGGCACACACCTGTCTATATAAGGTCCCACAGTTGACAGTGCCTGTCAGAGCAAAAACCAAGCCATGAGGTCGAAGGAATTGGCCGTAGAGCGCCAAGACAGGATTGTGTTGAGGCAAAGATCTGGGGAAGGGTACCAAAACATTTCTGCAGCATTGAAGGTCCCCAAGAACACAGTGGCCACCATCATTCGTACATGGAAGAAGTTTGGAACCACCTAGACTCTTCCTAGAGCTGGCTGCCCAGCCAAACTGAGCAATCGGGGGAAAAGGGCCTTGGTCAGGGAGGTGAACAAGAATTCAATGGTCACTCTGACAGAGCTCAAGAGTTCCTCTGTGGAGATGGGAGAACCTTACAGAAGGACAATCAAGTCTGCAGCACTCCACCAATCAGGCCTTTATGGTAGAGTGGCCAGACGGAAGCCACTCCTCAGTAAAAGGCACATGACAGCCCGCTTGGAGTTTGCCAAAATGCACCTAAAGGACTCTTAGGCCATGAGAAACAAGATTATTTGGTCTGATGAAACCAAGATTGAACTCTTTGGCCTGAATGCCAAGCATCACGTCTGGAGGAAACCTGGCACCATCTCTACGGTGAAGCATGGTAGTGGCAGCGTCATGCTGTGGGGATGTTTTTCAGCGGCAGGGACTGGGAGACTAGTCAGGATCGAGGGAAAGATGAATGGAGCAAAGTACAGAGAGATCCTTGATGAAAACCTGCTCCAGAGCGCTTAGGACTTCAGACAAAGGACAAAGACCCTAAGCACACAGCCAAGACAACGCAGGAGTGGCTTCGGGACAAGTCTCTGAGTGGCCCAGCCAGAGCCGGGACTTGAACCCGATCGAACATCTCTGGAGAAACCTGAAAATAGCTGTGCAGTGACAGAGCTTGAGAGGATCTGCAGATAAGAATGGAAGAAACTCCCCAAATACAGGTGTGCCAAGCTTGTAGCTTCATACCCAAGAAGACTCAAGGGTGTAATCGCTGCCAAGATGCTTCAACAAAGTACTGAGTAAAGGGTCTGAATACTTATTTCAGTTTTATTTGTAACATTTCTATAAACCAGTTTTTGCTTTGTCATTATGGGGTATTGTGTGTAGGTTCATGAGGGGGATATAAACAATTTCATCCAGTTTAGAATAAAGCTGTAACAAAATGTGGAAAAAGTCGAGGGGTCTTAATACTTTCCGAATGTGCTGTATTTGACCCAGTAGCAAATGCTGAACTCTGTTGGTGGCCTGAATAGTATGGTTGATCAATAGAGAATTAGGCCAGGATTCAATCAGAGTAGCGTTAATCCGTGGTAACCGACATACGCATAGCTTATCATTGCTTTTGTTTAGGCAGTGTTGGAGGTGCAACTGCATTGGTGCTGGCAAATCCACAAGACGCTCCCGGTGTTATACCTATCTAGGACATTGCCATTGGATGCACTGAGTCACAGTATAAATCCCAAGTAGCTGTGTTCGAACACAAATGTGTGATGTAATTTACACCTCCATTAGGCTGATATACACTCAACAAAAATATAGATTTTACTGAGTTATAGTTCATATAAGGAAATCAGTCAATTTAAATCAATTAATCAGGCCCTAATCTATGGATTTCACATGACTAGGAATACAGATATGCATCTGTTGGCACAGAAAAAAAAGGTAGGGGCGTGAATCAGAAAACAAGTCAGTATCTGGTGTGCCCTTCGATGAGCAAATGCTGATGCCGAACTGCAGTCAGGTCAAGACCCTGGTGAGGATGACGCACAAGCAGATGAGCTTCCCAGAGACGGTTTCTGACAGTTTGTGCAGAAATTATTCGGTTGTGCAAACTCACAGTTTAATCTGCTGTCCGGATGACTGGTCTCAGACGATCCCGCAGGTGAAGAAGCTGGATGTGGAGGTCCTGGGCAGGCGTGGTTACACATGGTCTGTGGTTGTAGGCCGGTTGGATATACTGCCAAGTTCTCCAAAATAATGTTGGAGGTGGCTTATGGTAGATAAATTAACATTAAATTATCTGGAAACAGATCTGGTGGACAATCCTGCAGTCAGCATGCCAATTGCACACTACCTCAAAACTTGAGACATCTGTGGCATTGTGTGTGACAAAACTGCACATTTTAGAGTGGCCTTTTATTGTCCCCAGCATAAGATGCACCTGTGTAATGATCATGCTGTTTAATCAGTTTTTTTATATGCCACACCTGTCAGGTGGATGGATTATCTTGGCAAAGAAGAAATGCTCTCTAACAGGGATGTAAACACATTTGTTCACAACATTTGAGAGAAATAAGCTTTTTGTGCGTATGGGATATTTTATTTCAGCTCATGAGACCAACACTTTACATGTTTATTTTATTGTTCAGTGTAAGTCATTTTGTTAAATGATTTTCAATTTGAGTGTCATATTTCTATAGCCATAGCCTAGAGTGTCTCGTTGTATACTTCTAAAGTTTATATTATGACGACATTCTGTGACGTTTTGGTTTTCGGCAGGTTTTTTTCAGGCTGTTTGAGCAGAGTAAATGTTTTCTTGAGGCAAGCCGAAGTTCTGTAGGTCTCTAACCCTAACCTTAAATTAAGACAAAAAAGTGAATTTTTGTTATTTATTTTTACAATATAGCCAATTTTGACTTTGGCTGTGCTATCTAGTGGAAAACAGTTTGGTCGCTGAAGTCCTACGTCCCTTTGTCGGTGATTGGTCAACAGTAGGGATTCTTTCAATTAAGTGTTGTCATTCAATGAGAGATTACTAGTTTTATTTCAAATTTTTTCACTTGAGAAATACTGCACCAAACATATTTGTTAGATGTAAAATTGCGCGACTAAGACTTCCTCTGCAAAAATGTCTAAATTAATGACAGATTTCTTGATTTATCATAGATTGACTATTTTGAGGAGGTGTTACTGTCTGTTGTTGCTATGGCATCTCAAGAGGGAAAAACAGTAATATTGCTGCTTTCTTTCTAGTTTTTCAAGCGAATGTCTTTGATTAAGGGAGTATGTGAGGCACAGACGTCCGCTGCCTAGCCGAGTTCTGCTAGGAGCAAACCAAACCTAGTATGCGGACACCTTAAGGCTTATGGTTTCCAGTCTAAACAGTTTCCGCATATATATTATTAGACCGCATGCATTCACGGTAAACGCTTCATGTGTTGGCTCAATAGGAATCAGAAACTTGGGACCGCTGAGTTAAAATTACACAAGTTATTGTTCAGAGCTTCCTATTGGTTGATTCTGATACCTCCCAAGTGGGAATCTCGAGATCCGACTCTTCCGCCTAGGTTAGCAAGTCAGACATTTCCGGGTTTCCGACATGACGTGAACGCGGCATTAGTCTGGGACCAAGGGTCTCCTGAGCAGCTTCTGCCCCCAAGCCATAAGACTGCTGAATAGTTAATCAAATGGCTACCCGGACTATTTGCATTGACTCTCTTGCACTGGCTCTATGCACACTCACTGGACTCTACCCACACACTCACGCATACTGCACTTACACTCCAGCACACACACACACTACATACGCTCACACACAAAAAACACACACACACACACATAGACATGCTTTCACACTCTTCACATATGCTACTGCTACTCTGTTTATTATCTATCCTAATTGCCTAGTCCATTTTACCCCTACCTACAGTATATGTACAGTACATATTACCTCAACTACCTCATACTCTTGCACATTGGCTCGGTACCGGTACTCCTTATATATAGCCTCCTTATTGTTATATTGTGTTACTATTTCCTTTTTGATTTAGCAACATTTTCTTACTTTTTAACTTTGCATTGTTGGGAAAAGGCTTGTAAGCAAGCATTTCACAGTAAAGTCTACACCTGTTGTATTCGGCGTATGTGACAAATAAAATGACATTTAAGTCAAGGACATAGGCTGGTACTAAAAGTAAGTATATGGTATATGGGGGGCTTATGGCCAAAGTCTCGAAGGCTTGACACTGCATAAAAGACAAACTGAGACAGTGTTTCCCCTATATGCATTTAGCAGCGGGGCACTGCCACTGCTAAATCGTAGCCACCACTGCAAAAAAAATAATTAAAAGATTATACAAAATGTGAATCTTGTTTACATCCCTGTTAGTGAGTATTTCTCCTTTCCCAAGATAATCCATCCACCTGACAGGTGTGGCATATCAAGAAGCTGATTAAACAGCATGATCTTTACACAGGTGCACCTTGTGCTGGGGACAATAAAATGCCACTCTAAAATGTGAAGTTTGTCACACACAATGCCACAGATGTCTCAAGTTTTGAGGGAGCGTGCAATTGGCATGCTGACTGCAGGAATGTCCACCAGAGCTGTTAACAGGGAATTGAATGCTAATTTCTCCACCATAATCCGCCTCCAATGTCGTTTTAGACAATTTGGCAGTATTTCCAACCAGCCTCACAACCGCAGACCAC